CTTAGGATGTGGGAACAAATGCTATGTGTTCATGTCGATATGAGATGGGAGTTTGAGATGGTGGCTTCAGGTCTGCAGACAAGAGTTTTCAAACACATGAAGTGTGTATAGGAGGATGATAACACTGCTAATTCTCCATTTTTATAGATACTTATATCATTTTGTCCCTTAGAGGTCTGAATAAGATAGTTCCTAACATCATCCAAAATGAATTTGTACTCAGTACAAATTTGGAAGCCAAAGTCTTGAGCATCAATATTAAACTTTTTGTTTTATGGGAGAATTTTTGTCTAAAAATAGTGTGTAAGCTAAGGAATAGAACATGCAGCAGCCAAACATTCATGGAACATTCATGATTTTATTCCATTTATTAGTGTTAGGGCTGAATGGGCTTTATATAGACATAGATATCAGTATTGGGACCAGTCATTTTAACATCTTTGTTGGTGACATGGATAATAGGATCAAGTGTACCTTCAGCAAGTTTGCTGACAACACCAAGCTGTGTGGTGTGGTAACATGCTAGACAGGAGCAATACCACCCACAGGGACCTTGATAGGCTTCAGAGGTAGGCCCATGCAAACTTTCTGAAGCTCAGCAAGGCCAGGTGCAAGGTCCTGCACCCAGGTAAGAGTAATCCCAAGCACAAGTATGGGCTGGGCTGAGAAAGGACAAGTAGCCTGACATGTCTCAGCAATGTCCACTAACAGCCCAGAAAGCCCAATTGTGTCCTGGACTCCCATCAGGATAAGTGTGGCCAGCAGGTCAAGGGAGGTGATTCTTCCCATCTATTCCACTCTCGTGAGACTCCACCTGGAGTACTTATGTCCAGGTCTGGGGCCCCTAAAACAAGAAAGGCACGGACCTGTTGGAATGTGTTCAGAGGAAGGCCACTAAGTTGATTACAGGGCTGGAGCACCTCTCCTATTAAGTCAGGTTGAGAGAGCTGGGGTTGTTCAACCCAAAGAGGCTCCAGGGAGACTTTAGAGCACCCTCCCGCTACCTAAACAGGTCTACAAGAAGAACAGAGATGTACTTTTTACAAGAGTATGCTGTGATAGGACAAGGGAGAATGACTTTAAGCTGAAGGAAGGTAGCTTTAGATTAGCCATTAGGAAGAAATTCTTTGTGAAGATGGTGAGGTACTGGAATAGTGGTTAATGGTTGCCCAGAGAATTTATGGATGCTTCATCGCTGGAAGTGTTCAAGGCCAGACTGGATGGGGCATTAACGTGGTCTACTGGAAGATGTCCTTGCCCATGGAAGGGGAGTTAGAATGAGGTGATCGTTAAATGGATCTTTAAGATCCCTTCAACCAAACCATTCTAGGATTCTACAATTCTATATTATTTCTCAAATATTGGAGCCACCACCACAGCCCCAAGAGCACAACAATGGCTACAGCCCAGCTCTGCCACTGCAGCATGGCAGTGAAGAGCGGGTGTCTCTGGGCCATGTCATTCTGCTCCAGTTCCTGCAGCAGCCGAGTCATCTCCTGCCTCAGCATTTCCTCACGCTGCCACATGCGCTCACGTGTGGCCTCATCCAGCTCCCTGTTGACCATCTGCGGGTGCTGGACGATGATGTTTCGCACCACTTTAAAGAACACTCGGGCAGCCATGGCCTGGATGAGGAGAGAGAGAAAGGGTCAAGTGGGCCTGGGAAGGAGCAGGGAGCAGGAAGGAGAAGGGGTGAGGCTGCTGGCAGGCTCTTGGGCTCTTGATGCAGGGTGAGAATCCACATTTCTGTCCCAGGTCTTGCCCAACTCAGCCTCCCGTCACATGCTTACCTCTGCCCCAGGCCCTGAAAACCAGCCCCATTGTGACCCATCTCCTAGGATGTCATAGGGCCAAAGCCCATCACAGGCACTCCCAGCCCTACACTGGCTCTGCAGCTCACAGATGTCTCTGGCAGCCAGAGCCTTGACAACCTCAAAGGACAGACCCACCTGGAAGGACAGGTAACAGGTGTAGGATACAAGGGTGGCTTCTTCATACTAGGTGAGAAGCTGCTAGAAGTTCCCTTCATGTCTGATAGAGGCAATGCCAGCCAGCTCCAAGACAGACCCACCACTGGCCAAGGCCAAACCTATCAGTGATGGTAGTAGCACCTCAGGATAACATATTTAAGAAAGGGGAAAAAACACTTGTGCAACACCAGCAGCTAGGAAATAGAAGTGAGAATATGGAAGAGAAACAACACTGCAGATCCCCAGGTCAGAGAAGAAGGAGAGGGAGTAGGAGGAGGAGGGGCTTCAGGCAGCAGGGCAGAGATTCCCCTGCAATCTATAGTGAAGACCATGGTGAGTCAAGATGTGTCCCTACAGCCCATGGAAGTCCATGCTGGAGCAGACACACACCTGTGGATGTGCTTGAAGGAGGCTTTGACTTAATGGGAAGCCCATGCTGGAACAGGCAACAGTGTAAAGAGTCCTCCCCTAAGCAGGAAGGAGTGACATTCTCCGCCCATTCCCCTATATGCTCTGCTTCATGTTTTTGAGTATCTTATATTTTCTACCTTTGAAAACATAAAACCCAAATTGAAATTAATTGGAACAAGTTATTTCGGATATATTTTACACAATAAATCATGTTTGTTCCTAACAACATTTTGTGTAATTTTTCTTATAAGAGAACTGAAGTACTAATTTTGGTTTCATTGGAAGCAAACACCTGAGCCTTCTCTTCTCCAGACTGGACAGTCCCAGCTCTCTCAACTACTCCTTAAAAGAGAGATGCTTCTCTTTTAAGAAGGGAGAGAGTCCCTTCATCATCTTAACAGCCCTTAGATGATCTCTGATATGTCCCTGTCTTGTACTGAAGAGCTCAGGGCTGGGACACCAGCACTCCAGGTGTGGCCTCACCAGTGCTGAATAAAAAGAGCAGGATCTTCTACAACTGGCAATATTCCTCTAAGGCAGTCCAGGATTCCATTTGCTTTCCTTGCTACTACACTGGACAGTTTGGTGTCCACCTCCATATCATTTTCTGCCAAGCTGCTTTCCAGCTGGTCTTTGCTGCTGCCTGGGGCTGTTTCTCCCCATGGGCCAGGCTCTGTGCTTTCCCTTGGTGACCTTTTTTGGTCACCAACAATAGGGAGTCACTGGGCAATCACCAACAATAGGGAGTTTAACAAGGGCAAGTTCTAGATTCTACACCTGGCATGGGGCTACCCTGGATGTACGTACAGACTCGGCATGAGAGGCTGGAAAGCAATGCCACAGAAAGAGATCTGGGGATGGTCGAAGAAAGTTGAATGTGAGTCAGCAGTGCCCTGGCAGCCAGGATAGCCAACCCGTGTCCTGGTGTGCATCAGGCACAGCATCAGGCAAGGGAGGGGATTGTCCTGCTCTGCTCTGCACTGGGGCAGCCTCACCTCGAGTACTGTTGTCCACAAAAATTGTATTTATTACTCAGTGTGCAACAAGCCAATAATAACACTTGAGAGGGACATTGATTATTTATTTCAAATTGCACAAGCCTGGGCACCTGGTGAAATTCCACAAATCAAGCACACGGATTACCAAAATGTTTTACAATTTATACAGTTTAGCAGATAAAGGAATTAGTGTTCATTGGCTGTTCATTGGCAGTTACATAGTTTTCTTATGAATTAATATTCTACTACTGGCTAACAATTCTCTTGTTTCTTATGCTAATCAGTCCACATGCCCAATCTTTCTTCTTTTGGGTCAGTGGTCTCTGAGTTGGAAATTGCAGATCTCCCCCTGCTGGAATTATCTTTCACTCAGTTGGAGCCAATTTCAGTACAGTTGACTTTATTAATTATTCCCTTATCTTCACAGTTCTACCAGATGTCTTTGTAGGTCATAAATTCTGCATTCTTTGTGTCCAGTATCAGTTGGGATCCTTTTTCCCAAGCTTTGTTAACCTCCCCCTCAGTCTCAGATCATTGAAGCATGTAAACCCCTAAACTTTAACAAGGTAATTCTACAAACAAGTAATTTGTTCTTCTAGATATCACAGATATTACTTAAGAGTTTGCTTGTTAGCTGCTGTTTCACAAGTTAAACCTCCCTTGTTGAGTGAACTTGAAAGTATACAAAGATCAAACATGAAATAAGATCCTTTAAAAATTTTTTACATAATCCACATTTTGCAACAGTCCTGTGTGCAGTTTTGGGCACCACAATATAAAAATGACACTAATCTGTTACGGAGGGTGCAGAGGAGGGCAGGGAGGATAGCGAAGGGCCTGGAGAGGAAGCTGTGTGAGGAGTGGCTGAGGTCACCTTTACTGTCCAGCTTGGAGGACACTGAGGGGAGACCTCACCGCAGTTTACAACTTCCTCATGAGGGAAAGTGCAAGGTGAGTGCACTGATCTCTTCTCTATGGCGTCCACTGGCAGGACTCGAGGGAACGGCCTCAATTGTGTCAGAAGAGGTGTAGGTTGGTTATTAGGAAAAGCTTTTGCAACCAGAGGGTGGGTGGGCCCGGAAGTGGTCACAACAGCAAGCCTGACAAGAGTTAGAGAAGCATCAGAGCAATGCCCTCGGGCCGATGGTGTAAATGTTGAGGCGCCCCGCAGGAGCCGGACCCGATGACCCTGGCGGGTCCCCTTCGGCTCGGGACATTGCCCGCCCCCTCAACATGGCCGCCCGCGCCGAGCCGCCTCGGGATCGCGGCTGCACGCGCGCAACGAAGCCCCGCCCACCTCCCTTTCCTCGGCGCTGATTGGTCCGAGGGGCGCGCGCCGCAGCCGGCAGCGGAGCGCCCCGCCCCCTAGCGGTTGGCGTGCGGTTACCGGGGCAACCGGGGCCGGCGGCGCGCGCGGGCCGGGGGCTGAGGGGAGAGCGGAGCCCCGGGAAGGAGCCTGGAGCGGGACCCGGCTCCCGCCCGCCTTCGGAGCCGCCTTCCCACCGGCCCTGCCGGGAGGCGGAGCCCCGGGAAGGGGCCTGGAGCGGGACCCGGCTCCCGCCCGCCTTCGGAGCCGCCTTCCCACCGGCCCTGCCGGGAGGCGGAGCCCCGGCAAGGGGCCTGGAGCGGGACCCGGCTCCCGCCCGCCTTCGGAGCCGCCTTCCCACCGGCCCTGCCGGGAGGCGGGGCCGCGGGACGGGGAGGGCGGTGTGAAATCGCGCGGCCGTAGGTAGGAAGGAGCTGGGGCACCGCGGGAGGGAGAACTGCCCGGCTTTCCCTCGCTTGTTCTGCTGGGTTTGGAAGAAGATCCGGGAAGGGGCTCTGAAAGGTGTTTTTTTATATAAAAAGCAAGAAACTCACAATAGACAAACAGCAACCCACAATGTCCTTTCATCTCTTCTTCATCCCCACTTTTTAAAATAAAAGTTAGAGGCAAATCCCCTGTGGATAAAGGAGAGGTACTGAGCTTCCGATTTGTTTACTAAGAAAGGAAGTTTCTTCTGCCTTCACAGCCTCGATCTTGGCTGTTCTTCAGTTTCTCCTAATTGTCATGCTGGCAGGGAGGATTCTCTGTATGAGGTTTAGCGGTGGGATCCTTTTTGTTGTCTCCTCGGTTGTTCTGATACACTAATGTGGGGCTTTTGTGTATAAGCTATAATACATACCATACACTGGTATATGTACGGGCTAAATAGGTGACCTTTCTGTTCCGAGTCGTTAAGTTATATCCATTAGGGTATCTTTATTCTCGGATCATTTATGCATCCATTCAAGATTAGCCGCTTGCCTTCTCCGCTCTCCCCCATTCTGTCATTTATAAGCTCACTTACATGAGCCAGAGTTTGGAAAAAATATAGAGGTTGTGAGAGCCTCTATAATGTGCCTTAGTGGGAAAAACTCACAGGTTTTGACTGAGCAGAACACACAGTTGTGTGCATGACAAAAGTGCTGTGCAGATATAAAAGAGTCCTGTAGCTTGATACCACCTCTCACAGCCTGTAAAACCTGTTCTAGAGTCTTCTGTATTTTCTAATTTATAATCAGATTATATGCTTCCATTAGCTAGCTACTATGTGTGAGAATTATGCCTGCTGTGGAGCATTGTGCACATATTTCTATATGAAAAAGACAAAAACTACGATACAAGCAAACTGAATCAACAAATCAAATAGAAAATTGCTTTAAACATTTATTAATACACCAAAACCTTGGTAAAATATCAGTAATAAAAGGGGTAGGATTTTATAAGCAACGTAGTATCACTGTAAATGAAAAGGACATTGGTGAGGATATGTCAGATTTGAAATACACATGCAGTTTTGCTGAAGATTTGGGTTACAAATAGTATAACATTTTCCTTTTTGTTTTTAAGGCATTCTGCTTAGAAGAGCATGTGGAATACAGTATTAAAAGAAGCAGTAGAGCAGCTTGACCTATAACAGAACCATGGTTCAACTAACAATGGACCTGATCGCTAAAAACACCGGTCACAAGAATTGTAGTGAAGAGGATTTTAGACAATATGTGCACAAATTAACTCATCTGAATTTTTCAGATAAAAATATAGATTCAATAGTAAGATTTATTTTTTATTATTCCTTTTAAATTGGCTACTCTAATGTTTTGTAGTTACTGTTATGATGAAGTGTTCATTGTTGGAGAGAAAAACAGGGAAAGCCAAGTTTTACGAATTTATTAACTCACAGCACAATCTTTTCAATCTATCTGTGATTTATTCCTTAAATTTCAGAGGAAGTCTGAGAAAGGAAAGGAGAGTTCAGAAACAGGAAATAACCCAAGTGAGTTAACAAATTTGGACTGGTGTAGTGGCTTTTTCAAATTAGACAGGTTAAAAATACACTTTTTTTTTTTTTAATTGCTCCCTGGGGCTTACTCATTTAAAAAATAATCCATGAGCTTTTCATTTTCAAAGACTAAGCCTGCAAACTTAACTCAGTCCTCCTTCCTCTGAGTTTAATAATAGGAAATGTATACAAGTTTCAATAAGTTCTGAGTTAATTCAGATCCCCTGAAGATATGAGTAAATTTGGAAACTGCTGAGCCCTGAACAACTTTTGATTGTGGTGAATTTCTGCTCTAAAAGCGTGATTTCAGTCAAGAAGAAATTGCTTGTTCTGTGTCAACAGATCCTGCAAACAAATGGGTTTATTCAGCCCACTCCTGTGCACAGCCATAGCGAGTTAGTCACGGGATCAGTCCATTTGATGAGGTCTGCTTCATCAGCTGCCACAGCAAAGTTTTACAGAAAACTTCATGAGGAGTTGTCTTTTAGTTGTTTCATAGGAATATGTTCAAAGAAACTCAACATTTGAGTGTAAACTTGAGTTCAGAAATATATTAAAATAGGTTGAATTGCAAGGTTTTGTAAAAACCAATAATTATTTTGTAAAAACCAATACTTTACCAATAACTGGTTTCCAGTTACATCAGTGCAGTTTAATGGAGACAACTACGCAAAAAACTGGGCTTTTGTGAAATCCATCTGATGAAGACAGGGAAGGGGAAGGAATGAAGTCACACTGGATCTGCTGTATTTGCTGGTGATGCTTGTAGTCCTCAGATTCTGTATGGCAAAATACTAATGACAGATTTCAGCCTTTAATCTGTAGATAACTGGCAATATATAATAACTGTTTTTCTGGGAAAAACAGTTTTACAAAATGCTTACTAAAGGTGAAAATTTATAAATCATGCATCAGAACTTAAATATAAGAACAATCAATAGCTTCCAGAAGCAGGCAGTGACTGAACATTAAGTAGCATGTTATTGTTTATTTCAGGGTGACCTCTCTTTCTGTAAAAATCTGAGAGTTCTGTATTTATATGATAACAAAATCAGCCAAATCCAGAACTTGGACTTTGCTTCAAATATAACACACCTCTACCTTCAGAACAATCGTATTTCAAGTATAGAAAATCTCTCATCACTGAAAAAACTTGAAAAACTGTAAGTTGAAAATAATGTATTTATTTTACTAGTAAAAAGAATATTTATAACACATAAGAAAAAATTTTATGTAGCCATTAAAGTTCTTTCATCGCTTAAATTTTGCTTTTCAAATAGAAGTTATTGCTTATTGTTTTTTACGAGATGTTCTGTGATAAAAGTAATGACATATCATCTTGACATGTATATTTGCATTTAAATTACTTTATTTTTTCAGTCTAGTAATATTAATAATAAAGCAGTAGATGAAACTGCAAGAAACTGCTTGAAACAGTTAAGTGTATATTCTACTTGTATGCTAGGTTATTTACTTTACCTATCATAATTTCCAAATATTATTTAATAATGCTTGGAAAATATTTTTCTCTATATATTGAAGCCTTTTGTTTGCTCTTACTTTCAAAGAATATTAAATCTATTTTGTGTTCTATTCTGTAGGTATTTAGGAGGTAACTATATCACTGTAGTAGAGGGTTTGGATAACGTAGGAGAACTGAGGGAGCTACATATTGAAAGTCAACATCTCCCTCTTGGTGAAAAGCTTCTGTTTGATCCAGTATCTCTTAACTCCCTGGCAGTAAGTATATTTTGAGAATTACAATGAGCCAATTATAAGGAAATCAGTATTTTTAGGAAAAATGATTAGGAGTTGATCACTTTGTGTTTTCCTCCTTTGCCAGTTGGTGACATTATTTCAAATTCTACCAAGAGACTACTACTCTAATTCTCTTATAAAGTGTCCAGCAAATTCTACTTCATCTTTTTTTCATTATGAAGGGTGAAAATGAGAAGAATCAAGAGAGAGACGAATTAAGGAAGTATGTGGATGCCCTGTACCAACAGAATGTGAATAAACTAAAAAAGGGGGTGTAATTTATCACTTAGTTTTCTTAGTCTGTTTCAATTGTAGTGAATTAGTTTGTTGCTATTGCACTGATATGATTGGTATAGTTGTTTATTTATTGCCTTTTGTATTTCTGTAGAAAAATGGAATGGGAATAAAGGCACAAACAGATTTTTCTTCCTGGATATTAAGAACAACACAATCAAAAGCAATCATTTTTAGTTCTGCAGTTCTTCTATGTTGTGTTATGACAAGAATTCAGGAAATCTCTTTGTAGTTGTCTTTCAACATGTTAATTGCTCATAAAACATATAGTTGAAGAGGTTAAAAAGTAGGATTTGTTTGCTAATGGATATAGTTCTGTACTATAAAAATTCCTCTTGCTGTATCTCCCACAGTGTAGTCAGGGTTTGATGAGCCTTTTTTTGTGAAGTCGAAGAACTCACTAAAAATTGAGTTCTTTTGTTCACATGTATATCATAAATATTTGACCTAGCTCTTTCTTTTTTCCTGTTTTGAGGTTATGTAATCCAAGACACATATTGTTGTTTTTCTGTAATAGAAATGAGTCATTACTGTGAGAGCATTTGTACTTTGTTCCTTCTATATTGGAGAAATTATCAAAGTAAAGGGAAGTTTTACAGCTGTAATCTTCCCAGGATAATAACATATAATAATTTCTTCCATGTTTTTCAGCAGCCTGGTCTAGATTTTGTTCTTTGTGGCTTTTATTTAAGGCCTTTTGATGTGGGGTTTTTTGTTGTGTTCTATAAAACAGCTTTGCATTCTTGATGATACAGCATCTTTGTGGAGGCTAAATAAAATATTCTATTTTAGCCTTTAAGTGCTAAGTGTTTAGAGCTTTTTTAAAGCATCACTTTTTATTTCTTAATCTGTTTCTGTCTCTTTTAATGGTGTCAAAGATAAAAGAGCTAAAGATAAAAGAGATATGAGGCCATATAATTCTGTGTGTACCACAGGCAAATGTTTTGATGACGACAATGTCATGAATCTGACTGAGAAGATTAAGTTTATGAATTGTGTTATCAAGATGATACTGGTAATTTCCATCTGCAATGTAGGTTTTGGTCAAATTTTTGAAGGGGGTTAGGTTTCCTGTATAAACTGCTGAAATTTTTCTAAATAATGGGAAGCCTTATACTTTGTATAATTCTAAACTCACTGGATTAGGAGTCACTTTTCATTTTCTAGAGATATAAACTTTTTCCTTTTATGTGATAGTACATTAGTATTTCCCAAGATAAACAACTGAAAGACATTTAGATTGTTATTTAAAATGCAAAGATCTCTATAACTATTGTCTCTTACAAATGGCAAAGTGCAGTATGTGGCTCAGTACTGCTCCAGAGAAGGGGTAAGGATCAGAGGTATGGATACCAAGAGGTTTGTAGGATCAAGCCTGAGAGAAAAGTAGTGTAGTCCAGCTGTTAAATGAGTCTATATAGGTAGCGTATATAGGCTTCAGTTCTGCAGTTCAGATGCACTCTTGAGGCCCACAGTATAAAAAGAAAATGGACCACCTGGAGCAAGTCCAGAGAGGGCCACAGAGAGGATCAGAGGGCTGGAGCACCTCTCCTATGAAAACAGCTGAGAGAGTTGGCGTTGTTCAGCCTGGAGAAGGTTCCAAGGACATCTTATATCAGCATTCTAGTAACCTAAAGGGAGCTTGTAAGAAAGCTGGGGAGGCACTTTTTACAAGGGTCTGTTGTGATAGGACACGGGGTCATGGCCTGAAACTGATCAAGAGCAGGTTTAGATTAGCTATTAAGAAGAAATTCACACTGGAACAGATTGCACAGAGAAGCTATGGATGCCCCATCCTTGGAAGTGTTCAAGGTCAGGTTGGATAGAGCTCTGAACAACCAGGACTAGTGGAAAGTGTCCCTGCTCATTGCAGGAGGCTGGAAATAGATGATCTTTAAGTTGCCTTTCAACCCAAACCATTCTATTATTCTATAAAAAGGCAGTCAGTTTCAATGTATGTTTCATACTTCAAAAGTAGAGCTCAGTGCACTTGCAGAACTCTGTAAAGACTTTGAACGTGTTTAAAAAAACTCAAAAATTCTGTATTTACTAAGAATTTCTGAAATAATTGAGAATTTGGTTTCACTTCAAAACCAAAATAAATTGCATTTTAGGACAAGGTGGAATGCCAACATAAAACAATCTATATGATATGTGGAGGTGGTATTTGCATGTTTCTTCTTCATATGTTTGTTCGTCTTTTAAGATAATTTTCTGTAACTACAACTTGACTCATACATAGTATGAAAAAAAATTCTTTTTCTGCTTTTCTTCCTTCAGAAGTCTTTGTCTGTATTGAATATCAGCAATAACAACATTGATGAATTAGAAGAACTGGCAGTTTTGAGAAATCTTTCTTATCTTAAAGCAGTCGACAATCAGCTTAAACATATGAAGGTATTCAAGTAAATATTTGTTATGTTAAGTATGGGTGTTCAGGAATTAGTCACATTCATCTTTACCGCTAAATATATAACTAGAAAGAAATTTTACTTCTGCAGTTACTAAATCTGGCTTGTCAAGCATGCTGTCTTTTCTCATGTAAAAATCTTACTGAGACTAGAAATGGAGAAGTATTTACCTAGGATGTAAAAATTTATGATTTTATTAATTAATACTGAAATAAATTAGCTTAAATAGTAACTCAAATCACGAAGACAAAGTCTTGATTGAAATCAACTCTTTTCTGGTTTGCATAAACATTTTATTTCCATAGTAAACTTAACTTTCATTGGTTAGTAATTATTAAAATAACTATTCTTATTACTTCTGAGAACACAGCACATTTTTAACAGATCATTGAGACAATTTTCTCTTTACTAATGAGAAGATTGCAGTATTTTGTATGCATAACCTATCAGTTATCTAGATGAATTTAGTCTATTTGGACTCTTCATTTTTTACACTATAATATTGAAAAATGTTGAATGATACCCTTCTTTTTTACTACAGAACTATTAATACAAAGTATTATCAAGTCCTGGCTGGCAGTTGTGATTTAATTCATGTAGGCTTTTGCTGAATAATTAAATTTACATTGAATATGTTGGTTACATCAAACTAGCAAAAAGCTTTTTTTCAAATAGCCAATCTCCCCAAATCTTTCCTTTTTAAAAGGAATCAATTTCTGAATAAAACATATTAAAAAATGTGTATATTGGCTGTTCCTTTCTTATAAATAAAATATACTTTTGTTGTGATGATCTTAAAAGAAAATTGTCATAGCCAAAGAACCAATGAATTTTAAGAATGAGGATGCCAGTTTGGAGACAGCATTTTCAGTATCTTAGAGAAAAAGGGAATATATTCTGAAACAGAATAGGAGAGGACAAAATTACTGCATTATTCAGTAACTGTGTATATATTTCTTATTCTTTATTAAATTTCATTATTTAATCATCAGGAAAACCAGAATTACATTGACCCAAACCAGTTAGACCTGAAGATTTCTATGTTATATAGTCACAGCTGGTGAAAAATGATACAAGTAGCATTTAAGTTTGCTATCCATTACACTCGTATTAAGCTCCAGTATATCTTGAAAGTGACTGTTCTGTGTGTTTTCTAAACAATCTCCAGATTTTTAAATATACGGAACAGGGTGTTTCTATTCATATCTTTGCAGACCTGTAAAATTAATTAATATATCAATGTGTTTAATATACAGTGTAATGCAGGTGGATATCCAACTTTCCAGCTACAAGTGTTTACGAGTTTTAAGGGATTTAAGGCATTTTGGTAGGCTCTACTTCTCACTAATATAAATTCTTAAATAAATAAAAACCAAACTGTTGAAAAAAGCATTAAGCCATGAAAAGTATTTTTTAAAAAGTTTTAACTCCATGTAAGAGGCTTCAGCTCACAGTGGACATCTAGAGGGAGAACAATCTTATGCAGTCACTGACTGTATAAAGAAATAGCTGAGGGAAGTTTTGAGTATATTTCAATTTTTTTGCATCCTTGAATTTCATTATTGTATGGCATACATTATTCTACGGCTGTGAAAGCTGCAAGCGTTTTAGGAGTTTACAGTTCTATACCCTTAACTGGTTCTGCTCACTGCACTTGTTGCATGCAGCAAAGGCTCTTTCATTCCCACACGAGCTGCCTCCCTTCTCCTCCCTCTTGCCCCTCTGTTATCAAAACTCTGATGCATACTTATTTTTCATGCCAAAAGCACTATATCACCTGTTTTCCCATTTTTGCTTTGCCATCACTGCCATCAAGAACTTTCCTAGGAATGTCTGGCATTAATCAGACATCGTGGCAGTGTCACATGACAGGGAAGTTTTGGAGAGCACTGTACCTAGCTGTGCTTCACCTGGTGGGAAGAGAAGCTGTAGAGGAGCTGCTTGTGTCTGAGCAGGTCTGGAGAACTGCAGGAATAACATGGAATCTTTGAGAAAGGAAAATATGAAGGGCATAAGAAATGCGTGAAATACCATCTCATGTAGACTTTTCTCACTTTTGTGTACTTAGTATAATTATTTTATATTTAAACATTTCTCTCAGTTTTTTCACTTTATTATGAAAATCCATATTCTTTTGCTTTCTCACCTGTGTCACTTTGATTTCAGCATAATTGAAAATTAGGACTAATAAATTTGATAAATTCAAGCACTTAAGGTCATGGCTAATACAGGGCTTTGTTAGCATAATTAACAGACATCAAGGCATATGACCCTGTTTCACTTGACTGAAGTTTATATAATGCAGTCTGAACAGTAGACATGAAAATCAAGTAATTTTTCTGAATTCATGCAAAATAACTATGACTACCTACCATATGCAAAAAGTATGTCTCAGGTCAGTTATCAAGAATATAATTGATCCTAATAGAATTGGCTTTTCTTTGTTTTCTATTGCTTGCTATTTCATTTATTCATTGTATTAAGATTCTGGTTTGTTTTAGTCAGGATCACAAGGTCTTCTAGACTGCAGTGTACTTGGGTTAGAATTAATTTTTTTAAAACATTATGTCTATTAAAAAAAAACGCCACAATTATTCCTTTTTACAAAAAGTCAGAATATAATTATTAAGTTTATTAGTTTTAGAAATATTATGAGTTAGGTGAGTCTTTGGATAGATAGAAAAAAATATAGCTAGAAATACCTGGAAAAATCTGTATTTCCCAAGTCTTTAATTTATTCAACCTCTGGCCAGTATTGATTATGACAAGAGGATATCACAAAAGATGAATTCATTCGCTTTAGAATTGAGTCAGGAACAAGAGAAAAATTATAGATTTTCTCAAATAGATTATGACAGGTAATCAAACTGGTGACAAATGGCTGTCTGTAGATGTAGCTGGGGCAGTTGGATTAGACATTTCCAATAAAAACTGGAGCATACTGGTCAAATACCAATTCTTAAATGGCCACTGTTAATTGGTAAGAAAGTTATTGCCAGCACTACAGCTGCCTACTCAGGCACTTGCCCTTCCCCCTCCCCACCCTCCCCGATGGAATATAATTTGCTCGTCAGTATTTTGCAGCAGACCTCAAAAGTGATAGCATGACATGATCATTTATCAAACGGAGCCTGCCCAGAAGAGTGTCTGGTCCCTTTAGTACAGCTTATTGAAAGGCTGGGAAGTGAAAGCACTTTATTAGAGACAGGAAGGCAATGAACAACTAGAGCGTATCGAAAGGGTAATCATATTTCAGCACAGGATTAGTGTGCTCTTAGATAAACATACACTGGAGTAAGCATGTTCTGGGTCATTTATCAAGTAAGTAACAGCTAACAAAAATCTACAGGACTCTGTATACATTCATCAAAGTTAAACTGTATACATTTTTTTTCAGTAATAGACAACTTCGTGTTGCAAAACTATTACTTGGGAAAATTCTTTCTAATGGAATCTAGAACACATTACAGACTTAAATTATAGTATCTGAATGCTTAGGATAAATAAATATACTTGCTAAATTATTTTTTTTAGTAAGTCTAGCCTAAAATATTTTGCCCCTAAAGTCCTGTTTGTGATTAGCACCTAAACTATGAGGGTTATCACATTTCTATCCTGATACATACTGATTTAGCTTTGCTGAATAACATTACAAGAATTATTAACATTTCTTCATGTGGACTAGTCCTCAGAGTTTCTTGCATTGTTTTATCAGTCCTGATCGTCATAGAATCAGACTTTTGCTCTCTAGTTTTCTAAAAATACATTTTTATCTCTGAATAGCAATAGGTGATATCACCATCATCATAGATAGACCAAAAATTATATGGTTTGGAGGCATGAGGCTGTGCTGCCACTTTCTCTTCCACATGTTTTTATTAAATGTGTTATAGAACCGATAGAACAGTTCCAAGAGGATTTTCTACCAAGGGAGATGAGCCAGCAAAAGCACAATTCTCCCTGCTTGTGTTACCCAAGCAATTTTATAAATTTGCAGAAGCTAAGAGATATCTACATTGCTAGAGACTTCATTGTTGGCATCACGCTACAAAGTTTTACACACTCTGTGGTTTAGAATCCATCACAGCATGATTAGTAGAATTTTCCAAACTATTACAACAGTAGAACATAAATCCTCTCTCCTATTTATACCTATTGTCTTGAATCCCTCCTTAAGCTTTTCACACATACAAGGAAAACCTGTCAAGAATAATAGTTAAATTAAATTTTGGAAAGAAAGTATTTCAGAAAGTAAGGTGTCTGAATAGAAAGGACCAATCTGATAAACTTTGCATGTTTTCAACTTGAATTTATTGTATTTGAAAGACAGAGTAGTTTCATCTAGGTCATACTGCCCCTGGGTAACCAGACAGAAACAGAGATGGGGAAAGGTATATTTCACTAATTTCACTGTGTAGGCCAATATTGCAACTGACCACCCACAGTTAGGTAGGGGGGGGATTATTGTTTCTCCTGTAAAATACAGTTCTACATATATAGAGAGAGGCAGTTCACTGTGGATTTCTTTTAGTCTGTACTTTATCTGTATAAAGTAATTTTTCTTCCACATGCTGATACTCTTAAGGGCTCTGTAAGACCTCGGGGATGCATTAACAGACATTGTGTATAATAGGAATTTTTTCATTGGTAGTTCCTAGGCCTTGAGTGCTTATCAGTGGGATTGAAGTGGTCATTTTGTTAGCTGGCATTACTGTATCCTTAAAAATGCAGCATATTCCAACATCATTGTTTTTTCTGTGCAATTTTGATATTCAGGGGATGCTGTGGACCACTCTGTTTGAAAATGCACATTCTTAATGTGCATAATACATGTGAATAGTCTAATTGAAGTTATTTCTGTGTGCAGGATTTGGGCCTGGTTGAACAAATTACATTACTGTTGAATTTTACTCTGGAGGGGAAAACATAATCACTATGTTCTGTTGTTGTTTCAATTGCAGGATTTGGAGGTTGTATTAAAAAAATGGACAAAACTATGCAGAATAGATCTTACAGGAAACCCCATCTGCCAACAGCCAAAGTACAAGGATTGGATTATATTACATTCACTGACTTTAGGTAAAAAATCAAATCAATAGCCCACCCATAACCCCCACTCTTTTAGGAAACAACTGAAAATTAGTTGTTCTTGAGTAGTGCTATGCATGTAAACACAGCTATAGATATTTATATCAAATAATGAATTTTTAATTTATGTAGAAAGCTAAAACTGCTTATGTAATCAGCTTCACAAGCTATCTTGTTTGGCTTTTGGTATTAGTAGTAGTAATTATTTGTTTTATAATAGATGATTGGTGACATCATTACAAGACAGTATTTTGTGTTCATATTCTAGATGTTGTGAAACTGATTTTCAATGATCTGTTTCATCTGTTCCCCTATCAATTCGTAGTAGTTGCTAAAGTGTTTTGATTGTACAGTGGTGGTTGTGCATATCTCATCTTACTGTGTTTGAATTTGTCATATAACATTCATCCTTCCACTCCATATCATTATATGCAGTTCACACTTTATGTTGTGTGTGTATTTGTTAATCTTAGCCCTTATGGTGCAGTTTATATTGTTATTTTGCATAAAATTTTACCATGAAAGGAAGAAACTGATTCTTCTGTATCTAAGTATTTATACTGTAGAAATAAGTTTAAAAATCTGCTAATTTTTTACTTTTTTGGATAAAGGTGGCAATTATTTTTTAAAGTTATAATTACAGAACTTGTTTTTTCTCAGATCATGAAATACTGGCCATTTAGGAAAAGCCTATCTGCACGATGAAAATAACAGTGCCTTAGGACAGTTTTAATTCAACCTAAATTTGTGGCCACATGAGGTATTTCATTTGGGCTGGCTCAAAAATACAGATGCAACCAATGAATCATAGAGCATAAGGTTTATGGCACCTAAGTGAGTAAAGTTAACCTTAGAGAGGCAAATCTCTGTGACTGTCTCCATGATCAGTAGAATTCCTTGATTGTTAAGACATGCAGTTTCCCTCTCCACCTGGATTTCTGCATCTATCTATACCCTGTGTAAGAGCATAACTTTTCTGCAGAATGTTATAGAAAGTCTTGCATTTTGACCAAATGTGAAATATGTATATTTCCCTGGAAATTTAAAAAAAACTGTAGGGTTTTTTTGTAATTAAGACATGTTAACTCTCTCTTGCAGCTTGAATTTGATTATCAGTCTTCACTGGGTATTCTTTTCTTTACCAAAATAATAGAAAAGGGAAAAAAAGACTTGAAGATAATTAATATAGAGCCAATACACATTACCTACAGCTTTGTATAGCCCTTTAGTTCACTTTGTATCACAGAAAATGTTCTCTTTTGCAGAATCTCTGGATGGGAATGAAATTCAAGAAATGAAAAGACGTTTCTTAATGAATTGGAAAGCCTCCAGACTTGCCAGAAACAAAAGTAATGAAAGAATGACTGATGAACATGCAGCCTATGTAGAATTTTATAAACAAACCAATCAATTACTTCATGCTTATTTAAAACTTACAGAAATAATAAAATTACATCTAAAACTAAATATACTAAGAATTGTTTATGACACTTGTACCAGTGATGAGTCCAAAAGACTTGAGTAGAAATTGAGCTTTTCAAATATAAAATTTAATTTTAGCACTAGTTCATATATAGTTTCTTTTCCTCACATCCCAGTCTCCCAGAATTATGGAAAGGAGTAGCTAGTGCATTTTTATTGTGTAAATATTCACATTTACTTCCATATTCTAAAAATGTTGGGCATTCTAGAATAAATATGCGCTAAATACATCCGACTTTTAAAGTCTATTTGTTGATACTTATTTGATCTCTGTATATTGTCAGTCCTTTTAAAGGCCTTTGCAAGATACATGTCTAGCAGAAGGTCAAGTTTTAAACTTGTGAAGAAAAAAAAAATGTCTGGGAGGTAAAAAAGCCTTAAGCCCTTTTTGAGGTTTAAAGGCAACCTGTTCTTCAAATGGGGAAAACTCAAGCATAACCTGAAATACAACTTTGAAGTTTTTTTAAAATGGTGGGAAGGTGGTGCTTGTTACAGAGCTGACTGCTGGTTAAAATATAAATGACTTAACAGCATGTCTTGCCATCTTGCAGGACTTGGATCCAGACATCTAACTTGAAATTATTCAAAATTGTTTGAATTACTATATTTATAAAATAAAATTGGGCACACTTATACTATTGCTTTCAGAAGATTAACTAATATGTAAGTTTTGAAGACATGAAGGCTGATGCTCTGCCTGCCAGCACCAGCCCTAAAATAGTTGGAATCTACACATTGTTTGGAAGCCATATGTAAATGGCAATGGTTTTGAAATGGTCTTCTGAATAACTACTGATATAAGAAGGTGCAATGTAATTGAATTTTTCCTTTTCAAATAACTCTATCTGAATGGGAATACCTGTTTTAATATTCAGCTTCATCAGTGTTTGTGGCACCTTCCATAACTCCATTCCAAGTTTTCCATTCTCAATTATCAAATTTGAGGTATTTTACCTTAAGGTTCAATACACTGTTTTCTATAACGAGATATATTGGAAAGTGTAATCAGTCACACAGAATATTAAATACATATGGTTTGACTTGGGATATTGAATTAATCCTTTTTTCTTTTTGTTTTCTGCAGTTGACTGTGGAAGAGCTAATTTCACATTTCCTCTTCGATCCAGTCACTCTGTGAAAGAAAAATCAGATTTTTTAGATTTTGTTCACAAGCAGAAAGTTGAAAGAAAACCTCTGCCAAGAATCCTTGAAAGAAGTCAGGTGAAAACTCAGGTATGTTTCTCAACTTTATTTTAGTTATGCTGGTTATTGCTTGTCAGAAATAATTTTTTTTAACCATCTTATATTTATTGTCTTTATTTCTTTGAAAGACAGGATAATAGGTTTCAGTTTCTGGTTACAAATCAGTGGACTAGCTAATAGCAGTAACTTTAATAATACTAGTTTCTGTCATATGCATTTAATTGTAATAATTTTCCACAAAGGTAAAATAATGTTGAACATAATTCTCAGAAGTAAGTTAAGGTGTGAGGACCAGGTGAACAGTGCACAGAATCATATGGAGAAGGAGAAACAATCAGTTTTCATCATTACAGCTTAATTCTAACAACCATGCTCTAGTTTCACCTGTAGCAATAGTATAGTTAAGCATTTGGGGCCTAATATTGCTCCTCCCAGATTTTTAATGCTATTTTGAACTTAACAGTTTTATTACTTATCAGCTGAACTAGCCAACCAAAAAAAAACCATCATTTATACAATGCTGTCGATAAAATAAATAAATACATGCAACTAACACAGGTATTTTTTGTAATTAAATTAGTAAATGTAGTATTCTGTTCTACATTCTAGTTACATATTTTACATTCTAGTTAGAATTTCTATTTTCTATTTTACATTCAAGTTAGAATTTATTAATATGTTTGACAAATTAACTGAGCAACATTTAATGCTATTTTATTTTTGACAACTTACCACTTTCCATTCTATGAGTTTTGTTTCTTCTGATTGTTTGTTCTGATTAAAAATAGCTACCTTTCTGTTGAGAAGGGAAGAAGAATTGCAAATCACAAAGCTGTTCCCTTTCAAATAATAATTTTTGTTCATCACATGACAATGGATATATTCTAGCCCAAAAAAGAAAATTAATTTGTCATATATATGCCCGTTATTGAGCTTTTTTTCTTACTCAGAAAGCACAAAGCAGTGGAGCAGTTAAAAACAAGAACTGCAGGAACAACTTACTCATTATAAAAAGTGATACTGTTAGTACTACTATAGTAGTACACTATTATTTTCCAGTGAATAGTACAGGCTTCTGAAATGTAGAGGGATACAGACTAATACTCATGCCATATAAAAGTTGGGATTTTTAAAATTCTATTGTAAGATGGGTTTGTTCACATGCTCAGTGTTCTGTCAGCTTGCATGTCATCTCTGTTAGCATCCTGTCTTTTGGGCCAGGCTGAGTAAAACTGTGTTTTGCATTTATCATTTCACTTAGTCCTAAAAAAGAATGGAACGTGCGTGTACAATATCTTTTCTCCTGTAAGACCTTCTGCTATTCCCTTTGAGACAAAGCATTCTGATTCTGCTTTACAATGGTAAAAAGATGTCCAATTGTTGAGCTTCTTTGCTTGGCAAAATATTTTTCCAATATTAAAAATCTGGAATACAATCACGGCTCTGTTGAAATCCCTTTTGACCTAAGAAAGGCTAAGACAGCACCTTCCATACTTGATTGAAATAATATCTCTATATTTTTATTAATTTACATTTGCAAATTAAACAATTTAAGTAATTTTTTAATTACTGTTAATCTAGTAGATTTTAGTTTGATTTCACAGAAAGGTTAGAAGAAATTGCAGTCAGATGAAATGCATTTAATATTTTCTAAAAACTTGTAATGTCTTGTAAAAACTTTTATTTTTAGATGCTGAAAGTTGCTGTACCTTACAATTTCATGTGTAATCACTGATCCTGAGATGTATTTTAATCTTGCTAGTAAAGGAATTCCATAGAAACCAAAGAGTCTTGGGAGTTGAAGTTTTGTGAATTCTTTAGAACATTTATTGGGAAAAAAAATCCCAAACCTCAAAAAATAGAAATATTCATTCTCAGAGCTTATACAGATACAAAAANAAAAAAAAAAAAAAAAAGACAAATCATAGTATTCCCCTGCCAGATCCACTAATTAAGGATATACATGAATGTGCCCACAAGTAAAGGAAGGAAATTTTTTCAAACTGAACAAATACCTGTATTGTTTAATTGAAATTCAGTATAGGACCAAAAAAATTAGTGGGTTTTAATCCTAACCTCTGTGTTAGTCAAATAAATTATTCCAACAGATGTTTCCTCTTTCCCCATACATACTAGGTGATGTTTGACCTTGGAAACTGAAAAACAAGCATTAAATACCTTTCTAACCATACATCTAAGATCCACTGAGGATTGCATGCAGCTTGAACAATGAAAAAAGCCACTTATTAGTAGATTGCTAAAATATGTCATTATTTTTTCTTTTTTTGATGATATAAAAACAATAGCAATTTCACATTGAATTTTAAGTTACTTTTGAGCATTCAGAGAAAATTATGGATATTGGCAGGAAGTAATTAACAGAAACCAAATCACTTAACTATTTTAAAGATATCTAATATCTTCCAGTGGGATACACCATTATTAATGTTCCCTGAGTAGAGAAGTTGTTGAAATTTTGATGTTGTAAACTTAATCTGTAACCAGCAGTTTCTGCCCACATTGCCTTACTCATGAAATTAAATATTGTGGTAGGTATTTGTAGCAATTCAGAATGTGGTGGGAAAGTCACCTTTTGTCCCTCCATCGTATGTTAGAGGATTAGCAATGTGGAAATATCTTTAAATTATACAGTCAGCATGTAATAAATACTCTGGATTGTGCCAACTAATCATAAGCCACTCTGCTGCCACCATGCACATCATGTGCCTTTCCAGTTCTAGTCCAGAAAGAAGGAACTTGCAGTGAACAATGTTAGTTCTCCCTCTTCTTAGGCAGATGCTTGTATGAACATTGTATTTAATTAATTAAATATTTATCACTGCCCTGAGTTGCAGTGATGTGTATGGTTTGAAATCTACACAGGATAATGTATATTTGATAACAGATAGGAATGTGCATGTTGTGCATGTATATTGGACTTTTGTTTATATGAATCTAACTAGCATTAGTTAGAATTATAGAATTAGTTAGAACAAATAGAATTATTAGGGCCTATTATATGACAGGTTTTTGGGGCCAAATAATACTGAGACTATAATGATGTATACCCAAAACATAAGCTTTGCAATCATACACTTCACATTACACAATATAGCTCTCTTATTTGAGAGGGAGGTGGGGAAATATATTACCTCTGGATGAAGCAAAAATTCTTGTTTGCTTACTGAATATCAATTTCAGGAAACATCTGAAAATTCAAAACTAAAAAATATCCTCAGTCTTGGCTGCAGGAGAAGGAGAAATACAGACATAAGATATAAACAAGGGCAGTTTTATCTTTGCACCCTCAAGTTGGTTTTAGCAGCAAAGAGCTTCCAAGCACTCCAAAGGTATTCAGAATTAGGTGCATTAAATACTTAGAGATACCATCTGGAGCACTTTTCCAGAGCCAAGAGCATGCTTAGAACAGATATGGAGCACCTTTTCCAGCAGCCCGTCTCACTGCCTTTCCTTGGTGATGGTGTTGAAGGAAAAATGTAAACATCTTCTTAGTGAAGTCTACAAAGTATCAATTAGCTTTTAGTGCTGAAGGCTGTGGAAGAGAAATGTAAGGAATTTACTTGCCTTTGAATTATTCAGCCATGACATAGGATATGAAAGGAGTCACCACAGTGCTAGATAAAGTGTAAGGATAAAGAGATAAAGTCAATGTCTGAAATTAAATAGGGTTGCTGAAGCAGAGCCGTTTGAATGAAGGTCAGGTATTAGAAGTTTCTGGTTACTGTGGCCCTTGTAAGGTCTCAGCAGGCAATTCAGACAGATTTAGTGGTTGGTTCCTTTTTTTTTTTTTTTTCCTTTTGTGGAGAATATGCACTACCTATAAAAGTGAGTGTAAATATTTTGCAGAGACATAATTAATATTACAGTAATTTTCAGCCTAGTGGCATTTTTGGTATCTATGTTTACAGCCTTGCTGACTGTGGTGCTGGATGATTCTCCCCATGATCATTCATACTCTGTTCAGAAGGAAAAATATAACTGTCATCACAAACATACAAGACACAAACAATAGCATTGTCTTCTGCCTCAACTTCTTTCAGTAGTGGTAATTAAGAAAACCAAGAAGATAGGTCTACTATACGTGAAATCTGTAGTACTTAAGACTGCCATGTCATCCAGTGTTCTAAAGGCAGTGATAAAAGGCATGCCTTTTTGGCCATGCCCTGCCTCCCCACTCCAGTTCTCTGTGCTGCTGCCTGTGCCCAAAGCTGAGGAGGAGTAAGGATCTAAACCACGCTGGCAGAACACGTGCACTGATAGACCCCCTGTGCCCTTGAAAAGAGTACATTCTTTGCAAACCAGACAGAGAGCACATTTGCTGGTGAGCAGATTGCCAGCTAGACTGTGCCTACTCCTACATGTCTGGCTGACCAGACAGAGCATAGACACATTCTTGATGGGCAGTCTGGCAGGGGCACATTTGCTTGCAATAGATTGCTTCCTCTTCCAGGAGATAGGGGCTGTTTCCTAGACGTTTAGAAAACCAAATGGCATGTGTGACTTGTCAGCCATAGTAGGTGGTCAGCAACTTAGCTGGGCACATCTGGGGCTGCAGGCTGCCAGATGCTCTCAAGAACATTGAAATCCAGACTGTCTGAAACCTTCTACATAAAATACATGAGTATTTAGAATGCTTTAGGTTGGAAGATCATTGAGTCCAACTGTAAGTCAGTAACATTTTAAACAGAATGCAGAATGAGAGGGGACTACTTAGTGATGTTAGTTGGGTCCATCAAAACTGTATCAGGAATGAAATACTATTTTAGGATGGTAAACGAAAAGCAAACTCAGACCTTTGCCTATCTATTTTTCAGGTGTTACATGTTCACACTAATAGTAACTAGATAAATTAAATGTTCAGTTTCATTTTTTCATTTGTTCAGTTTTTCCTATCCTTAGATTTTTGTTGTCAATACTTTTAGAATACTGTTGAGATAAAACCTCCAAACTTCATAACATTTTTGGTCTGTTGTATTAGCATTGCACATTTTTATTGTGTAACTGACTGAAAAATTATAAATATCACTTTAACAACACAAATATTAATCTAATTAGAAAACTGTTAAAGAAGTAATGCTATGTTTTTAGGTTTTTAAAATACATTAAGTCCATGAGAGTTGGAAAAAGTGATTTGAGGTTAAAATAAAGACTGTTGCTTTGTCATACCGTGACACAAAATAACTCACAGAAGCAGGCTAGATGTAAAAGGAAAGAAAAAGAACCCAAAAAAAGCAACTTTATTTTCTGACTCCAATATATATACAATAGCAAAAGTGACAGTGGATCGGAAGGTGAAACTGCCACCTCTCCAACCACACTGGTCAAACCAACAGTCCATCAATTCTCTCCAGAGAAAAATGCAAAACAATCATTATTTATGTGAACATGCATGAGAAAACTCAGTTGAAATATGTAAATATCAGAAGGCATAGGAACTTTTAGAAGAACTTTAAAACTCTCAAAAGAACGGGATGACATTGCTTGAGTAGGAATATATAAATAAATTCTGTAATTTCAGTATAATTCTGTTGCAGTCAGTTCCAGTAATCTAATTTACTGCAATGATATAAACACTCTTTCAATATTTGCCTTCCTGTATCTGGTCACACATTATGTAGGCACACTCCCTTCTCTGAAAAGTTGAAAGCAGCTGCTTTTATAAACCTGAGGTGAAAATACAGTCACTGCTCTCATCCAGCAAGATGAGCTACTACATTTTGGAGGACAGCACTGCAACCACTAATTCCTTAGTAGCAGTTATACCTCCTGGAATTCACTTCCAGCATTTGGGATGTATCCCATCCAGTTGCAAAGACTTGGATATGTCAGATTTACCTTAGTAGTTCCTAAATCAGTCATCATCTACTGTTGGTAGAATTTCCCACCACCAAAAAGTATTCCTAGGACCTAAGAGGTGTGAGACCAAGCCTTACTAGTAAAGATTCCAATGCTTTTAGAGCTTACCCAGTCCTGTTGGTGTGTTAGAAGTAAAAAAGGAAAAAGATTAGACATCGCTGCCCAAATACCTTCCCTTGATAATGTTTTTATCATGTTTTCTTAACATGTGAACATATAGTGTTTGAGTTACTGATCTAAAGCTCATATTTGAACTTTTAATCCATAGCTGAAGAAAAAAATCCTATTTTTCTAATGCTGTATTATTTCTTTCTATATGCAGGTATAAAGCAGTACACACTGCCTATGATACAGTTTTAAAAGCCATGCAGTTCAAAAGTTCTGAGATAGACAGGGGGAAAAAACAGCCAGAAAGCTGTCAGTGTTCAAGATGTGCCCATTGACTTTTCAGGATATGGTTTCAGATGTGGTCTGTTAATATGGGATAGTATGTGATTGTATTCAGAGTGTAACTGGTAAAATTTAAGTGCAACTGAAAGGTCCTCTTCCCTGATTTTCTTAATTTTATCTCAATGTGGTGTGCAGAGTAGCTCTCTTGACTAACAGAGCTCTGAGGAAAATGATTAATTATGTGAACCTGATTATTTACAGACATAAAATTATAAATGCTATATACTGTAACTGGAAACAATACCTTTTACTTTTTACTTTGGTAGGAAAAAAAAAAAACCACATTGATTTTTTCTTTAAATTTTAAGTGGCTTGGCCTTGAAGAATTCTAGGAATTCCCTGCTAAAAAAGTTGTATTTGAACCTTACCATTTCAATCAAACTACACTGTAACCAGACACTACAGAAATGACTGACTACATCTTTCTGTTCTCTTAATTCTGAGCAGAATTAATTGCTGCATCAAAACCAAGATAAATCCAAGCCAGCTGTGAAATGATCCATGTAATAGACTAATACTTCAAATCAAAAAGAGTTTTGAATCAATAAGCTCTTCCTTTCTTGGAGAGTTAATATGTTAGTCTGCCATAGTAACCACTGATTACATGTCTAGTAAAGTTGGGTATAATCAGTTACACATAGTTTGTAGGAAAGTGTTTTGGAATAAAATACTGGCTCTTATCTGATTTCATTTATATGAGAAATTGCTTTGATTATTAATAAGATTTTTTTTCTTATAGGACTTGAAAATTAAATTATACACATTTATGTAGGAAAAAATGTTAATAACATTTTTGTCCATGGAAAAAGTAATTTTTGTAATAAAGGGATACACAATACCACAAATATACAGATTCTGTCAATTCAGAATATTCTGGTTCCAGGTTTGGCACTGGTAAAAAAAACAAAAGGGCTTTCACTGCAACAGCCAATAATCTTTAAATAGTTAAATATCTTTTTTTTTAATCAGCAACACTTGATAACACTGCTTATAATTTTTACAGAAATGTTAAGTGCTCCAAGGAAGTGTTAATGGCAATGGGAGCAATAGGTGCTTTTCATGCGGTTGTGACATGAAGATCTCACCTGTCTCCTCTGATCTCTCTGATGTAGGTTGAAAAGGAATCTCAAGCAGCGACAGAATTGTTTAAATTCTAAAATCCAGAAGTTACAGGATGTGAAGAATTGGCCATTATTTATTTTCTCCCTCAAAGACTACAAAGAAAGATACCGGTGTCCCTTTGGATATGTTGTCCGTGTCTTTTTAATCTCAAAACCAGACAAAATTAAGTATGTTGAATTTAACACTGCTTTCTAAGAACATTGGGAAAATCAAGAGGACTACCTATCTATTTAGAAGCAATGCTTTGTCTCAAAAGCGTGTAAAAACATCAGCACATGCTAGGTTAAACTGGTTGCCTAATTTTAAGCTTCCTCCCTCAAGAAATGAACTGGCTTTAGCCAGTGCCTTACCTGGCAGCTGCTCCCTTCCCTATACGGTACTCAGCAGTTGTGAGGAGGCGTGTTCAAAGTAGAGTCATGGAGTCATTAGGGTTGAAAAAGACCTCTACGATTATGCAGTCCCACTGTAAACACTGTCATTTTCACCACCAAACCATGGTGTGGTGAACACCAAACCACACATCTACACATTTTTTAACACTTCCAGGGATGGTAATTCCACCATTTCCCTGGACAGCCTGTTTCAATGCTTGACCACCCTTCCAACAAGGAATTTTTTCTCAACAGCCAATATAAACCCTCCCTGGTGCAACTTTAGGTCATTTCCTCTTGTCCTGTCACTTGTTACTTCAGAGAAAAAAAAAGCCCTCACCTGTCACAACCTCCTTTCAAACAGAAATAAGCTATTAGCTCATGATTTTTGAGAAGATCTGTAGTCCTAAAAATAATTTCCATCATTTTGATTTTTCCAAGTTTTGGTGAATAATGTGGAACAGTTAGCAGAGGGGGCATGAGAAGATTAATGATATCTGTGCTGATTAATTTTTTTATTGGGAATATCATTCATTAATTTAACTTCAGATTGTTAGTTTGGCTGCTTTGCACTAATTTAAGTAATTAAATAAATTCTTGAGAGTTCTGATATAGGAAAATTCCAATCTTACAGGTAAGGAAAGGAAAGCCCAGATTACAAATTGCCTCTGGTAAAAGACCTTTCATAATGCAGTTTCTCTGTGTAAATGGCAGCTCAGCATCTTTGCTTACAGCCCTCTCTGAAATAAGAAATGAAATTTTCCTGAATAAGGAAATCAGGATCTTTTTGGATGGAATGTTTTGTGTATTTTGTGAACATTTATAAAGACAATTTGGTAGAGATTATTAAAATATATTTAACTCCTGCATGCATTCTCCCCTTGAATAACAAGATCTTCATTATAAAGAACAGGATTTCCAAAGCTAAGATAGTAAATGAGTGGTACTGTAACGCTGAGGTGCCAATGTTCCTATTAAAGTGCTGTGGTTTAACCCCAGCCAGCAGCCAAGCCCACACAGCCACTCGTTCACTCCCCACATTGGGACTGGGAAAAGAATAGGAAGGGTAGAAGCTGGAAAACTCATGGGTTGATATAAGGACAGTTTAATAGGGAAAGCAAAAGCCACACGTGTAAGTAGAGCAAGCCAAGGAATTTAGTCACCACTTCCCATGGGCAGGCAGGTGTTCAGCCATTGCCAGGAAACCAGGGGCTCATCACATGCTATGGTTACTTGGGAAGGCAAACACCAAACATCCAAACATCCCCCTGCTTCCTCCTTCTTCCCCTACTTCAGGTACATGAACATTATGTCATATGGTATGGATATGGTCAGTTGGGGTCACCTGTCCCAATTTACCATGTTGTCAGTTCTCATGTCCCCAGTCTCCTTGCCATCATGGTAGTATGAAAAGCAGAAAAGGCCTCATCTCTGTGTTAGCCCTGTTCAGCAATAACAAAAACATCTCCAGATTATCAACCTTGTGTTCAGTACTAATCCAAAATACAGCCCCATACCAACTATTGTGAAGAAAATTAACTCTACCCCAGCCCAAAGCAGCATAGAAGGCTGGTGAGTAATTAGCCTTCAAAATCAGAACATTCCAAACATGAAATAAAGCTCAGATGTGTAGCTGTTAGTCCCTTACTGAAATCAGTACTAACCAAGCACAATACTTCTTGTTCTAGCTGTACTCAATTATATCAATGATATTCAGGTCAAGAAGGACAGAAAAGCCTACATTAAAAAAAAAAAAAAAAAAAAAAAAAAAAAAAAAAAAAAAAAAAAAAAAAAAAAAAAAAAAAAAAAAAAAAAAAAAAAAAAAAAAAAAAAAAAACCAGTTGATTTTTTAAGCAATTTCCAAAGAAGAATAAAACCCAGTTGATTCTTTAAGCAATTTCCAAAGAAGAATGTCGATAGTGTTGATGAGCATTTTCACAGTGTCAGCTGCTGATTGCTGACTCAAAGCAGCACATTAGGAAGTTGCTCCCTGATCTCTATATTGTGGTGTTATCTTTGCATCTTACACTTCCCTCTGCCTTACACACACCCATTTAAAACTATTTAATGAATTGTTAGTATTTGTTAATGTGGGTTATGCTGTGTAAGCCACCTAAAGCATGGCATTTTTTTCATAGGTTCTGAGTATTTCTGGATTAAATATTTTAATTTCTTGTACCATAAATAAAACATTGAAGACCTGGATTAATTACTCCCAATGGAATATATGCCATGAGGTTTCATAGGGAGAATCCCACAGTCAAGCAACTCAAGTCTAGCTAAAGCAAAGCCCTAAGAAAGTTTCAATTCCCTAGTCTAACACTTATTTGCACACACAACCCTTCAGAATGGAGCCCTTCTGATACATATTTTAAAAGTAATTTTTAAAGTAATTTTTAAAGTAATTTCTACTGAGAAAATGCTGTAAGAAGCATATTGACACACTGTGATATGACATATTTAACATAACTGTGGAATACGCTATGGTTCTACAGTACATTATCAGTATGGCATTTGAAACAAGGGGGGGAAGTATTTAACTGGAAATCCTCAAAATATTTGTTTGTATTTGGAACCATTATGCTAAGATTTCCCCAAGAAGCAAAAGCTGTGAACTACAACTTATTTTTATTCCCAGATGGCTGTGTCCTGCCTTTGATTTGCTCCCAGGCTACAGGTGCAATCTGTGGGACCTGACCAGATACAATGTGTGTGTGGCTTCCTGCCGGAGCTGTTTTACTCAAACAATATTTCTTATTTTTAAGTTAGTGAAATTTAGTTAGTTTCTGTCAGAAGCACCAATAACTGCTGCACCATACCAGCAGGCAAGCACGCTTGAGAAATCCTTATACAGAAATAGGAATGGGAGAAAATTAACAAATTGGAAAGAAATACCCTGAATGTTTGTCGTGAATTGTAGCCATGAAACCAGAAACTAATTTGACATAAAGGGAGCAGAGTGTATCTGGAAAAACATCATTCTGTCTGTGGTAGAACTTCTTCTTACCTAAATCACACTGGAAATCTATGACTCTGGCATTTTTCAGATTTGAGATATACTGTGGAAGGTAAGGCAGGAAAAGTAATTCTCAGTCATTTGTCTGGGAAAGAAGAAGAAGAAACAGCTGCAGCCATTTGTTACAGCATTAGATTTAAATAGTTGGTTGGTACAAGAAAATAATCACTGGATGTCTTTGTGCTTATGACAGAGGAGGTGTCATCTGATGGGAGAAAGTCTTGATGGAGCAAAGAACAGCTATTTCTACATTTCAATCTCTTTGGGTTTTTAAAATATGTTTAAAGCATCCCTTTTTTGGTAACAAGGCTAGCAGCCAGAGTGGTGTCTCCAAACACTGCTCAAATTCTTACTGTGCAATCTCCCTAATCACACTCTGCAGTAAGGTGGATTCAGTGTTGTCTAAAGATGGTAATGGGGGTTCCACCACCACTTCTCTTCCAACACCTTCCGCTGGGCTTCCTGCATTGAGGCAGAATTCTGTGTACAGTGGGAAACCCCAAAAAATACTGTGTCATTAATCCAGTCAGAGTAAAGAAGAGCACAGCACTCACAATCTGCTAATTTAGGGTGGCTGGGAAGTCTCAGGGTGTTGGGACGCCTGCCGTTAAGTTCTCTGTTGGTGACATAGTTGAGCATCCCATGGCCTAGTGAGAAGTCATCCCCCTTGAGTAGGCATTTTTAGGCGGGCAGCAGACCTAGAAACCTCCTTGGTGTGTGGGAGAGCTGATCCCCAGACTTGTGTGCTGGTCTCAGTCAGTGCGTGTTTGGCACTTACAGGATGATAGAGGAGCTCCAGTGGAACTGGTGCTGGAAGGCAAATCTCCCTGCTCCCCAGGGAGTATGGGATCAGTTCCTCCACATCACACCACAGAGTGTTTTCAGTACAAGCTAAAGGATGTGTTCAAGAACTGCTTGTTTGAGCCCCAGAGGCTGATTGAGCAGAGGGATGTCTGTTGAGTGCTTTTTTAAAGAGGTTTTCTTCTCCTGCAGAAAGGATTCAGCAATGCTCACTTGGGCTGGAGGCAGCCCTGGAAACCTTTGGGGCAAAAAGGAAACATGGCTTAGCAGGGCTGCTTGGAGGCTACTCCACTGTTCTCCAGAGAACCAGTGTCTTCATTCTCTTGCACCCTGGAGGCCAAAGGATGATCTGTGGTGCGATGAAGTCCATCATCACGCCTGTGTACATACTGACAAGAGTAGTTTTTGCCAGAGTGGCTCCCCATGGCTGAAGGGAAACCCCCACCGAGGCTGTCAGCAGCAGGCAAAGGTAAACGTCGAGGCACAGTTTCAGTACTTAGATTTACAGATTAATTTAATTACTTAACTTAGAATTTAGTGCTTAAATTCAGAACGGAGAGCATTCCTTGCCATCCAGCCCTCTCGGGCCGGCGGAGGCGGTTCCTCACGGCTGTGGATGTCAGCCCGAGGGCAGAAAGCGTGGCGGGGCCTCGGCGGGGCAGTGGGGCCGGGCGGGGCAGGGTCCCACCCGCGGGCAGCCCCCGCCCGTTCTCCCCAGAGCGGAGCTGGTGGAATTCTCGGGCCGGAGAATTTGGCTGGGATGCACTGGAGGCTGCGGGGGGCTCTCTGCGGGTGCTGCCGAACCGGGCCGGGGCTGAAGGCAGGTGCCCGGCTCCCTCTGCACCGCTCCCGGCCAGCACCTCACCGGGCTCGTCCCCTCCCGGAACTTCCAGATATCGCTAAATTTTAAGACCTTAAATTTCTTGGCTGCAAACCCGGTAACGAATCGCTCAGACTTTGTTTTTCCACTGCTCCCGAGGCTTGATTTATTGTGTCTCTCTTATCGCACAATCGGGCTTCGTTCAAAATGTTATTCTGGGCTAATTCCTTACCCCGGTATTTATTTTGACTGTCCGTTCTCATTAGCGTTACTGATTTTTAATCGCTCCCCGTTCCCGGTTAAATCCCCTCTCTGCCCGCCCGGGCTCGCCTCATCCCGTTCGTGTTTCCATCCCGTGTGGGCCGGTCCCCGGAGCGGTGCCCGGGCAGCCACGACCCGCTTCCCCCGCGGCTGCGGGACGGAGCCTCGCCCTGGGGAACCCGCTCCGCCCGGGAACATCCGCGAGCCGGAGATGCGGCGGCGGAGCGAAGAGAAAGGGCTCGCTTTTAACAGGGCATCGCCTGCGCTCCCAGTCCAGCGATTGAATTTCTCTCCTCCAGCAAAACCGTTACTTTATCCTAAGAAAAACAGCGCGAGCGGCGGCGCGGGGCGGCGGGACCCGCACGGACCCGGGGCCGGGCGCGGGGGAGGGCGGGGGTCGAGGGGAGCGTGAGGCGATGCCGCCCCGACAGCTCCGTGATTGATGACCCATCCGCCCGGGAAGGGGCGGTCGCTGTCGCCCGGGCTGGAGGGGGGAGCCCGCCGGCCAGGTGCGACACAGCCCCGCCGCACCCACCGGCTTATAAACACCGGGACGGGACGGGACGGGACGGGACGGGACGGGACGGGACGGGACGGGACGGGACGGGACGGGACGGGACGCGACGGAGGAACCTGCGCAGCGGCGGAGCGGTAAGTTCATCCCCGGCCGGGCACCGCGGGGTCCTGCCAGGTCCCGGGCAGCCGGGATGCGGGACCGGGACGCAGCAGCCGCCTCGGGCCGGCGGGGCTGTGAGCGCCGGTGCTGCCTCCGCACACCGACATGCAAGTCCCTATTTCTCCGCTCCGGAGAAAGGGTTTTCGTTACCTGTTAGCGGAGTTACACGGAGGGCAAGGCCTTTTTAAACCGATGCAAAATTATTCAGATTCACTGTATTTTGCGCCCTAAGGAGCAACGGACTTGCTCCAAGGAGCAAGTTTATCTAAGGTTTCCACCTGTTTGTTTTCAGTTTGTGTGCTCTGCTCTAGCGTTTTCCATCTTTTCCTTGTCTGTGCGGGCAGGTCGCCTTCATCACCATTTCATTCACACAGAATATAAGACTAAAATAAATATTGTGCTGGGTATTTTTTGTAAAAGATGTCAAACCAATCATGTCTTTGTAGTGTCATGTAAAAACACAAATGCATCTGCATGTAGAAATACTGCACTAGAAGTACTTTAGAAACAACATAAATACTTTAATTTTCTTTCACAGCCCTGTCCTCCACTACGCCAGCATACCAAGTGGCAAGTGGGTGCTTGCAAAAATTACTGTGATTATCTTAAAAACCAAACCTCTTTCTTGTAAAATTTCAAAAGGGAAAATGACTGTTGCCCAGAGACTTTTTATTTACTTTAGTTTTTAGCAGCATTTTTTGAACCATGAGGTTTTGGCAATGCCTGAGTTTGAAGCACCTGGAATGGATGTCCTGATTACTCTGGGGAGGAGTGATGCTACCTAGTCCCAGTGCACAACCGAAGTTGACCCTGGCTGTGGATCCAGGAACCACCATGATTTGGCTACTCATATGTACATACCTACAGCAGATCCTTTGTGTAGCAGATTTTCCTAGGCCAATTGCTGTTTGTGTTTGATGGGAAGTCTGACAGCAGAGAAATGTAATTCATAGTGAAATCTCTCATTTCCGCAGCTGAAATTTTGTACTTTTTTTTTCCACAGGCCCAGGATTTTATCTCATATAATGTGAAGCTCCTTAACCAGAAACTCCTATTTCCAAGGGCACCCAAGGAGATGATGTTTTTAGGTACGTGCATTACTATGTACTGTATGTCACTTGAAGTCATTCCAGTTCTAAATGTGGTTACACATCAGCACAGCAAAATCAAAATGTGTGTAAAACATGCCTAGTCCTGTATTTCAGTAGAGGAGCAGGTATTTTTACTAACCCAGTCCGTCCATATCTTTGGGTAATCTAGACTTCTCCAGTAATTGGGGAAGACTTCCTGTGGGTAGGAGGAAGTGGGATTTTGATGGGATAGCAGTGAGAAATCCTGCTGTTAAACATAAATTGTTAGATTCTTATGCCAGTGAAGATAATTGTAATTATCTTAAATTAATGTCTTGACGTCCATCTCCACAATGATGATTTTTTTAAAAAAAATGAAATGCATTCAGGTCTGACTATGCCTTAACACAATGAACACCAACAAAAAAGCATATAATGATTTTTTAAAGTTAGAGGCAATAGTCAACGTAAGGACTGTTTTTCAGCCCTCACTCAAGATGAGCACATGAAGTCTTAATGTAAGATTTATTTTATACTGATCATAAACACAACAATAAAGAGAGTAGTGAGATTTTTTTGTTTTGTATAGAGTTATGATGTGCATAGAATATTTCACAAATAATTTCAGTCTAAACTGTACTACTACTGAAGAGACCATTACATGATAATACTCTGTGAGCCACATTAATAGCAAATTAATCACAATCGCTAACACAAAATAATAATGATAAAAATTTTTCTAAATACCATCAAATTATAGCATTGCAAAAAGGTTTTATTTAGAAACCTTTCCTTGTCTTTGATAGAAATCTTTGACCTCCATGTGTGCTTGAAATGCTCTGCAAAATCAAGGGCTAATTCTTGTAAATGTAGATATTAAGTCATTTATGTGCATCAATGTTATTTAAACTTTTAATTACACAATATTTGGATGAAATTAAAAGGTTTAATGACTTGTTCCTGCTCTTGTCTAGCCAGGCTGTCAAAGGAACAGACACTTCTAACACTTGAAAGCCAGGATCTGGGACACCCACGAGGGCTACTTGGCTGAGGACAACAGGATCAGGTATTATTCCAGCAAAGAAGTGCTGCACTTTGGGGAATATTGATGGAATTGCATTTTTCTGTGGAACTGAATGAATTAAAGGACTGTGAGTTGTATTACGGGCAGAGCTGACTGACTTTACAAAAAGCTGAGAAAAGACCTTGAGGTTACTGTTTTCTGCTTTTCTCTAAATAATTTTTTTTTATGCTTTCAAAAGGTTATTTTGCCCCCCAATGGCCAAAATACATCTTAACAAATTCTTTTGAAGTTTGAAAATGTTGATAAAAGGATAAGAAAATGTAGAGAAAGGATAAGCATGCAATTTCTTTAGTAATGTTAGGGATGGGAGGGCAGGAGAAGTTAGTTCCTGATCCTTTAAAATTATGGGCCAAGCTTTGCCCTTCAAAAACTGAATCAGTGCTCTGTGGCTTCACTTACTGATGCATTTGAAAATTATATTTTTATTTCCATAGTCCATGGAGCACTGATCACATATAAGACTGTTCCTAAAATGATTGCAGTGAAAATATAAAATATACTAACAGTTCCATATCCCAAATCATAGAGAGAATATGTTTAAAAGATTGCCTTTAGCCTAATTTGTAGTTGATGGAAATCACTGTGGCAGTCCCTCTGGGTGGTGCCTTTTGGGTTTTCTCGGAAATAATCTCTGGGCTATGAGTCACTCACAAAATTCGCTCTGTGTAATACTGCAAAAAAAATACTGATAGTTGCAAAGATTTTAACTTCTGTTCTGTACCCCTGGGTGATGCTGAATTCGTAAGTAGCGAGTTGAAAAGCGGCCCAAGAGCGGCATTCCGGCGTTTCCCCGCACAGGCAGTGCCGGAGTTTCTGACCAACCTTGTTTTCAGACAGGGCTGCCGGCTCCAGCCCGCCGCAGCATCTCCCGTTGCTCGCGGGGCCCGTCACCGATGGACTGTGGGCGCTTGGCGGCGAGCAGCGAGCCGCCCCGCGGCGCGGGCGCGGAGCGCGGCTCGCGGCCGCCGTCCCGCGCCGGCGGCGCTCCCTGCGCGCCCGCGGCGGCCGAGCCGCGCCCCGCCGCCGCTCCGGGCCGCCCCGCCGCCAACAACGCCGCCCGGGAGCGCAGCCGCGTCCAGACCCTGCGCCACGCCTTCCTGGAGCTGCAGAAGACCCTGCCCTCGGTGCCGCCCGACACCAAGCTCTCCAAGCTGGACGTGCTCCTCCTGGCCACCACCTACATCGCGCACCTCACCCGCAGCCTTCAGGATGAGGAGGAGTCACCGGGAGAGGGTTTGGGCGCGCTCCGCGGGGACGGATACCTCCACCCTGTCAAGGTAGGGGAGATGAGCAGCAGCCGCCCCTTCTGTCGGTGAGTGAGCACACCGGCCTTAGACACGTAGCTAAACTAAAGATTTCATGTTCCTGTACCTTGCCTAGAGGCATTACGTGGAAATTCCGGCTGAACTAACCGCTGTGCCTAGGTCTTAGGGGTCTGATGGAAATATCTTGGAGCTTTGTTCCTCCAGCTGCAGGGACTTTGCACCAAAATACCAAATCTCCTGTAGCTCCAAACCTGGTTTTTGGAAGTGAAGGTCAGCACCACAGGAGTCCTTGCATCTTCTTGGTCCCTGTGTGGAAACGTTGGTGATCCTCATGGATGCACTGGATCCTGCTGTGAGCGGTGTATGTGGTGAGGTGCCACTGTCCCACAGCGATGATCAGCCACGCTGGGCCTGCTTTGGTTCTGCTGCCCAGGCATCCCCGTGCCGACAGTGCTGGTAATTACCAGCCATGTGTTAATTACTGCCATGAAAGCGCGCTTCTAAAACGTTTCTCTGGTTGGTTTATACACTTCCCTTTGTCAAAAAAAAAACCCCATCACAGTGAGGCAGAAGGGATGAGAAAGGGGAACTGCTCTTGGAGAGGACCGGACTGGAAACTGTTTCCAAATGCAGTGCTCACTACTGACTGATGGGGCTCAGGCACCGCGGGGTGTTTTCTTTGGCTCTGCTCACCCGGAGTGAGTTACAGCACTGGGGTGTTTTCTTTTCTTCTTTTTTTTTCTTTTTTTTTTTTTTTTTTTTTTTTTTAATTGTTTTAATTTAGAATGATTTAATTAAGATTAATTTGTGAATTAATCTCTAATTTCTAAAAAGTGCCTAATTCACAGAGAGTTCCTTGTTCACAATGTTGCTTGCTGTATTTTACAGCATGATGTGAACATAGGCTTTTGAGGCCATTTAAATGATTAGTAGACTCACAAAGAAAGCAAAACCTCTATATCAATTAGAAGATGGCTATAATTTAAGTGAAAAAGCGCTGTGATGTATTTCAAAATAAGTTCAAAATAGCTTCTGTTAGTTCCCTCAGTCAGAGTGAAAGGACACAGGTCTCTTATGGTATTTTTTATCAGCTGCCAACTACTACTGGCAGAAAAATACTCTTGAATAGTTATTACAGCAGTTAAATTATGCAGCTGCCCATTTCCCAGGCTACTGGGAGACAGTAATACTAGATTCACTTAAGCAATTATTTTTTTATGAATATATTTGATGAATGTGTCACAATCAAATCTTAGTATGTGCTTCAAAAACCCCAAAATGCAGGGTATGAGACAACCTTTAGAGATAAAGTCTTTAACTAAACTGATGGATTAAGTTTAGTAAGTAAATGGAAATAGTGAGGAAAGTTAAATATTCAAGTACAGTTGTGTGTACACTGGATGAAAAATAGGGTTAATGACTTTAAACTTGGATGGTTTATTGGTGACAAACTCTTAACATCACACTTGAAAATACTGAATGAGATCGTTCAGTCTTTCTAAGTGAGAATATGCTGCTGCTTTAGGTCTTTGAACAGAAGAGCTGAGATTTATCTGCAGTATTATTAAGTGCCCCTTACCCACAGGAAAGGTGCCAGTCTGTTCCCAAAAGAGTTTAAAAGACCTGCATTCTTTTGGAACAACATGCTGGCTGAATGTCAGGTATTTTTGCATCCAGTGTATGTGACAAGTTGTCTCTCCAAGCATCCACCTCTCTAATAGTGACCTTGGCACAGCAAATGGAGCTGGATTCTCCCTCCCAAGTTCTGGGTGCCTGGCTGCAGCCACCTGCACCACAGGGCTGCTCACAGTCAAAACCTGCTGGGGTCAGAAACTCAAGCTGTCAGAATAAATCTTTAACACCAAAAGTAACCGATGATTCCAAAAATCAGTGAGTGTAAAGATGACCTGTGTCATCTGAAATAGCTGGAGCTCACAAGAACAAGATGCTGAGAGTGCTGAAGACTGCCAAGGTGCAATTACATTAAATTCCCTTAGACTCACAGGTTTCTGCAATAGCCCCTGTGGTGTTGTGGGGCCCAGCCAGCAGGGACAGGTGTGCACATGGGACAATCCCTGCAGGTGCAGGTGTATCCCTGTAGCATTCCTGGTGCCTTGAGAAGGAATTCTTTGTTTTATTCTACTAACAGAACATCTACAACACAAACTGAGCTAGGCAGCCTGATGCTGTCTGCTGGGGCACAGCAGGGTTGAGAGCTCTGCCTCATGATTAATTACCAAAGCAAATATCCAGGCTGAGTTCCAAGCAAGCTCCAAACATTTTCCAGCAAATGACAAAACAGGAACTTGTTTGGTGATAACAACAGTTTCCTATTTTCTTGTACAGTGATTCTATCAACTCTTTGCTGAGAACTGCAGTTGGAGTGCAAAGATCCCGGGTGTCTCAGTGCTGTGCTTGTTTCCTCTCTTGCAGAAGTGGCCCATGCGTTCCAGGCTGTACATTGGAGCCACGGGGCAGTTTCTGACCCACTCGGCACAAGGAGACAGCGCAAACCATGGGGAAACGTCAACATCGTCACAGATCTAACCTCCCTTCTTGCTTTTAAAAAAATGGTTATTTATTACATCTTAGATAAATATATATTTAAGTTAAAAACAGTATCTACAGACAAACTGTAATTCCTGAAATGCTGTTTGTAGAGGAGAAGGAATTGATTCTTAAATGTAATTCATACCTCATTAAGTTAACGTGATACGTCATTGGTTTCTACCACTGCTGCGATCTGAATGAGGGAGAGAGGGAGGTGGTGACTGCAGCCAGAACCAATCCAAGCAGCAGCCAGCAAAGAGCTGCCAGCAGGGTTAAGTATCCTTGTCCTCTCTGGGACAAGCCCTGTAAGAAAAGTGAGGAGAAGTTACGTGCTAATGGCCAAGTACACGGTGAAACAGGCTTGGGTGAAAAGAGAAGGGCAAGGCTAAAAATAGCAATTGTAATCCCACATAGACTTTCTCCACTGCTAAAAGCCGATGGCAGAAATCCCCTCAGGCAGAAATCCCCTCACTGCAGCTGTCAGGTCAGGGCTCCAGCCATCGATAGTCCTACACGCTTGTAGTTATTGCTGGGAATAGGGATGCATGCTCATGGAGTAAAAATGTGCTGCGAGACCTGTCCCTCCTGCACAGAGTGCTGTAATTTGGTCACTGCTTGTACCCACGCGCAGGACTGCCCTGCATGTTACAGGCTTGCTCCCCCGGCACAACCATGTGTCTGCTCACCACACCACGGATCATTTCATTTAAGGATGTTGGAGCAGGTGAACCCAAAGTGTTGGCTTCTTCACTTAAACATCTGTATTTAGGCAAGAAAAGTTGAAAGTAAATGCACAAATGTCATCCTTTCTATCTGTCTGTAAAACACTGTTGATCTCATATGGTTTGTTATTGCTGAGGTAAATGTTCTATTAAATATTATTCAGTGAATATTATATACTTTGAGTTGCAAAATCTGTTATCAGATTCTCATTGTACACAATAATATTGTGCATTTATAGATGCTGTTTTCTTTCTGAAAGCTTCATGGTTTAAATTTAAAAATTGTATTTAGAAAAAACAAAAATATTAGCCAGAACAACTTTCATAAAAACAGTACAGCAAAATCTGGAGCTCTCAACTGCCCCTGCAGCATTCTGAGCTTTCAACAAGATAATATACCTGGAATTCAGTATTCAAGGACAGGGAAAAAAAAAAGATTCCTCAGTGTTTTTAAAAGGCTTATTCCTTTAAATGACATTGAAAGATTCTGACTGCTTAACCAAGAAGCAGAGGGTTAGCTGGACATCAGGAAGAATTTATTCAAAGAAAGTGCTGTAAAGCATTGGAATGGGCTGCCCTAGGAGGTGGTGGAGCTGCAGGTGCTGGAGTCACCATTCCTGGAGCTGTTCAAGGAAAGACAGGATGTGCCACTTAGTACGGTGATCAAATTGACAAGGTGGTGATCAGTCAAAGGTGATCAGTAGTCTTTTCCAACCTAGTTGATTTTGTAAGAATGAAAAATGCTTTAGCAATAAGGGTTAAAAACATGGAAAGTTATGAATGGAAGGCACAGAGAAGACATCTCAGACTCAAGCAAGCTGCAAGATTTGTATCAGTTTCTCATTGTACATCATAATAAGCTGAATTTATAGACATTGTCTCCTTTCTGAAGACTTTAAATTTTAAAATTACATTTAGGAAAGAAGGAAAACAAAGATACTACAAAGAACGACTTTTGTTTAAAAAATATAGTAAAAATCTGGAGCTCTCCACAACCCCTGCAGTATTTACAACTAAATATTTACAATGCTCTGCAGGCAGCCAGAGAATCAGAGCAGGAAGCACTGTAGTTACTTACTGTAGCCCCGTCCCTAAGACTTTTTCAGCATTTGATGGAATTATTACGGGCCCGTAAGAACATGCAAAATTACAACAGCAGTTTTTTAGTTAAGAAGAGTGCCCCACATTTATGAGTGAGGATTTTTTCTCCCCTTGAGACAGATTATTCTGCATCAAAAATATGCCTTTCGTTCCAGAAGACACCAGCTTAGGCAACACTCTCCCTTCGAGCAGGGCAAGAGCTTTTATCTTCTAGAAATTTACACAGCAAGATAACAACAGATCCTCTGAACCTGCTGGCTTCAAACCTGATGTTTGGTTCCAGAGCTGTTCCTTCCTAAACTGAAGGAACAGTTCATACCTTTGTATACTGAAACACAAGAGTTTGGCGTTTAACACTAGGAATATGCACGTGCCTAGGGATACAGCTGAAAAATGTTTATAACGCTGCCATCAAAAGCTGGCATTCTTCATAGAGGTCTCGGCAAACTTCAGTCGCTGCCCTCGCAGCTTTTCCCTCGGAAGGATGGGAGGTGAACTGCCCGCGGCCACAGCAGAGGCGGCTCGGGGCCCTCCGGGCTGCCCGCAGCTGGAACTCGCGGACACGGACACGGATCCCGCTGCATTCCCTGACATCCCACCGCCACCATTCCCTCACATCCCAATCCCGCGCCGCCTTCCCCGGTCCCCGTGCGCGCGCAGCCGGAAGGCGCCGCGCCCGCCCCGCCCCGGCGCGCCGCGTGTTCAGCGGGATCCCGGCGGGAGATCGCCCTTTCCGAGGGGGACGGAACCGAGCGGCCGAGCCTCCCGCCTCCGGCCGGCGTGCGTGCCTCGGTGGGTGGGATGGACGTGGCGGGACCCGGCCCGTGCCTGCGGGGGCTCCCTGTGGCGGAGGATCCCGGTGCTGCTCCGTGCCTTGGGAGCCGTCCCGCCGTGCCCTGGCCTCGGGCGTGGGAGCGGCAGCAGCGGCCGCCCAGCCTGATGAGCACAGATTGAAAGAGGGGAATTTGGGTACTGGAGGCAGCTCTTGGCGGTGAGGGTGGCGAGGCCGCTGGAACAGGAAGGTTGTGAGAGCCCGAGGCCATGGTGGCGAGTGGAGCCGGGCTGGTAAGGCCTTGGGCAGCCTGGGTCTGATGGGCGGTGTCCCTGGCCGTGGCAGGAAAGGGGGTGGGACTGGATGTTCGCTAGGGTCCGTTCCGGCCCTTTAACCCGCGGTTCCGTGATCCCGCCGTGGGGATCGCAGCGATCCGTGTGATCCGCCAGCCGCCCGCCGTGTTCCTTGGAGCAGGTCCTGCCTGGCGGTGCTCGTCCGAACAGTCCAGTGATTTCTGCCCTTTGCAGAGGAATTGGAAATGCTCCTGGGTGGTTAATGTGAGAAATCCCGACGTGGCGGGTTAAAGCAATGCTGTAACCTCAGGAATTGCAGGGATGGTTTCAGATGCTTTTCTAAGCAGCCAAAGCTGTCACTTGAAAGAGGAGTGATTGTCACGGTGCCGTAGCCGTGCCTGTGTTTCCCCTGGGCGCTGGGGTGGCGCAGTTCAGGCTGACACTCCAGCCACACAGGCTGCCCAGGAGAGCCGTGCCGTGGGAGACCGAGATGGACCTAATTACTGTGTGCCACGCGGTGGTTCCTTCCAGCTGTCTCCTGGCTCATCAGGTTTTGAAAGGAATGACAGATTGGACATTCAGAGACACTTGGTTTTGCTGACAGATCGTTTTCATCAGCAAATACCTGTCATAATTCAAAAGATAAATTATCTTTTTTTTCCTTTTGGGAATTGGGCAAGGGTTGTGAGGTGACCCAGACTATGTCCTTTATAGGCACAGATCCTAACTGGTGGGGTCTGGCAGGGACAGGGCCCCAGGAGTATCAGCAGCCTCTGGGATAATTCTCTATTGCATTACAGACTGTGGTGTGAATGATGACCTCAGTTCAACTGGTGGTAAAACATCACTGAGTTCCCCAGAGTGCCACAAGTGAACTGGGGTTTAAGGCTGTACCCTGCCTCTCCCCAGCCTGGCTGGTCATTAGGAGCACTGTACTTGTCCTGCAATTAGTCATCTCTCACACGGGAGGTCATGCCTCTGCTTAACCTTGATCGTGGCTGATGGTCTATGCCAGGTAATTGCAAAGAGAGCATGAGGTTTGTGTTTCTTGGACTGGCTTGCTGTTCCCAAAGAAGTGTTAATGCTTTCTGCTACTGGCTCAGCAGTGGAGCTCTCTGAATCAAATATCTTCTTTTCATTGTTTTAGGCAGAAAGTGAAGCTCAAGATGAGTTTGCTCCTGGCTTTGGGAATCCTCAGTCTGGACTCTGCCATGCCTTGCAAGCAGAAAGATGCCACGTGAATTCTGGAGCTGCAGAAGTACGTATTTCTTACTGTACTTAAAAGATGTTGAGGGAAGCATCATGAAATCCAGATCAAGAGTTCTGAAGCGTTTAATGGCTTGCAAAGTCCCTTACAGATGGAAGAAGGAGAAATTTGATTGTATGCGGGGTTAAGAGATTGTCCATAATACACATGTCCATACATGTGTATTATGGCAGCTATAAAATCTCCTAAGACTTGCTCCTCAGAACAAAGCAGGTGCAATCCAAGAATCCCAAAGGAGTGAAAAGGGAGAGACTTACCAGAGAACCTAGTTTTTAACTGGGAAAAAATTACTTCTGATTCGAATTCATGGATGTTAGCTGATACGGAGAGAATTAAGTGAACAACAGTATGTTCAGATTACAGTCCATGCTGGCACTTAACTGCATCAGTCTTGGAATATATTCCAAAGGGAATGGTGACTGTGGTAGTGAAGTTTACCTCTAGAAAGATACTTGGCACCTGGGATTTGAATGTAAGAGAGCTTTTTGGGCATTTTTGTGCCCAAACTGCTGTTTTTCTCTTGTTCTTGGTTGTACTCATTCTGTTCTGTGCTTAACAGTTAAAATGGAGGCTCTGCTTCAGCTTATGGAAGTACAGCTCTTGGGACAAACTTAACCAATTGCCTTGTATTTAGTACCTGGAAAAAGCAGTCTTAAATAGGCAGGAAACTGCTGGCATCGTGATGATAACTCTTTGCCGTTTACCCAACTGAATGTTGTGATGAACAGTGTTGTATATCTGATGTGCCAGCTAATCAGTAGGTTTTTCCAGTTTGCTTTGCTCCTGTAATTTCTGATTTTAGATCTTTTTTTCCAAGGTTCTGTGACATCAGATGACCACCTCCACTGTCTTCCAGTGTGTGTGCACACTTGTGTGTGTGCACAAAGGGCCAAGAGGAGAGTCTACTCACTTCTAAAAGTGTGGGTTTTTAAGAAGGTCAGTTGCTTTTTTTACTGTCACAGTGCTCAGGTTCCTGCAGGCTGTACTGCCATCCAGGGAAAGCCTGTACTGGCCATGTTGGCTACCAGCCTTTCCTTGTGGTACTCTACAAGTCTTCCAATTTTCAAGAGCTCATGGGAGAAACTGGAAAGATGCAAGGATAAAATGTTGTGCTCTTTCTGCAGAAAACCCCTTAATATCACTTCTCAAAAAAAAGTGATTTAGAAAGGAATGCTATTTCAGTCTACACTTAAAGAGTAATTTTTCTGGCATAATGATGAGACCTTTGCCGTTTACCCATCTGAAATGTGTCTTGATGTGTATCTTGAGATCTGAAATGCCAGAGAGGGTAATATGTTTGTATAACTAATTAAGGGTACAGGAAACTAACTCATTATTGTTACTGTTCTTAGCTTGAAAACAGAAGCCTGGAATGTGGAGCTCTAATGCACTTGGAAATGCTTCTGTTACCATTCCTGCTCGTCAGAAATACTGCTTGGTTCCATCGTATGGCAGGGGAGTGGCTGTTCACCGAAAATGAATAATCCTGGAATGAAGTTCGGGATAGTGTGTCACTCTAGAAAGAGAAGTGGCCTTCTGGGCAGTCTTAGAACTTATATGAATTTTTGAGTGTATGAAATAAATGGATCAAAAGTGAATAAAACAAAGATTAAAACGTGGGAGAATTTGTGTTGTCTAAATGAGTGTTTACAGTGTTAGCAGTAGGTATGAATAAAATCTTGAATTTCTGTTTTCAGTAACTTATTTTTTTGTTCAGACTATGGGAGCAGTATCACTCTGATCCTGCTGGATGACGTCCTGGGTAGGAGTAACACAAGCCATAATTATTCAGCTTGTGCAGATTTGACAGGAAGTCTGGACAATTTTACTGCAGCTTTTTTATTTAAGGTGTATCTCTTGGATGCAAGGCTTGCTGAGGATTGTGCCTAGTGCTGTATCCTTACTATGAAGATGAAACAGGAAAGCCCATAGCTAGGGAAGCATAGGGTGCTCCAAACACCTCATCTCCTACCAAATATTCTTCATTTGTTTTTACAGTGAGGTAGAGCTGAATTCATTGAGCTACCTGCCTACCAGGTAATTTACCTAATTAGCACTCTACTATCCCCTGCAGTCTATATAAAATAATGTGGAAACACTCGCTTTTGCAGGTTGGGGTGCTTTGATGGGTTTCTTTTGTGGTTTGTTTTGCATGCTTGTTTAGGTTTTCGTTTCAGGAGCATCTGGCATCCCTGTCTAATCTCATGTTGCTGTACATGTTGCTCGTGTAAAGAAGACACAGGACATGAAGCAGTATGATAATACTTTTATACATTTCAAAATCCGTACACTGTGAGTAAGTGAAGACTGTTGACTTGAACAATGAAGAGTTAATGTTCTTACAACTCGTTAACCCTTTGGATGGGTGATAAATATGGAAAGAAGCAGTAAGCAAAACTGCAAAATTCAGGTAGCTGAAATGAAACATATTCTGAACTGGTGGTGTAATTTTTACTTGTAGTCTTATTAAAAATCTTGAATCCTAAATTACTCCTTGCCGAGCTGTGAATGGAGAGTGGTAGCCAGGAAGAGAAGTTCTTGGGGCTATATTCTGAAGCCATGGCTTTCCACGATGAAGACCTCCCTGGTGCCTTCAAATAACTCACAAAACCTGTAATTCAAGTCCTGTCAGCTGTGCTTTATTCCTTGGTAAAACATCAACGAACTGTCTTCTAAGTTTTTAGTAATTTTGTATTTATAACTGTAGGCTCTCAAAAAGCCAAAGCCCCAGGCTTTACTTAGAGTGGAGTTTTTACTCTTCATTAGTGTTAATGTGAATTCCTGGGCTATAGGCAGTAATAAATTTCAGCAGTTGATGGTGACACTGCATGAGGTAAATATCTCTCTCTTGCAGGCAGTTTTCATCACTGAGGTCAAATGGAAACACAGGATTTGGTGCTACACATAGTACAGATGTGCCTAGGCAAAGAAGAAATTAAGCTGTAAGACTTAGTATTTGCCAGTACTTTGAGGGGAAAAAAGAACTGTGATGCAAATTGCTTAGTAATGCAATCCTAGATGATAATTCTTACCTCGCTTCCAAATCTGTGTGTGAACAAATACGACTGATGCTTAATAAACAAAAAAAGTGCAATGTTTCTGGTTTTCCCAGGGAGAGAAATCTGTCCTTAGTTTAACCTGAGCCAGTGTTAGAAAAGCAATGCCTTAAATAAACCAGTATGGAGGACGGACTTGTTGCTGGCCTATGGCCTTGTTACATACAGCACTGAGACAAACTGACAGACTTCTTCAGTGCCAGTCTTTAACAGTGGATGTTCTGGATTTTGATTTAATATTACCTGCTACTGCAATCAATGGATGTAGAATTTTTTCAGACTGACAAAATGCGACAGTGATGCACCCAAGCCTAAGGAACTGTTGTGCATTATTTACCATGTTTTAGGGTCAGCGATGACTCGAGTAACAAGACTGCAATCACTGCATCTTCCTCAAGTACTCTCTGTCTTAAACTGAGCTTGGCATGAGCTTTGGCCAGTGAAATCCTAAGAGATCAATATAAGTATGTCAGAAATAAAAAGTAACTGCAGGTGTGAATGCAATGTGCTGTATCAATCACTTGTGTAAATGAAAAGTTAACACTGCAGTGGTTTTTTCCCTACTTCAGCTGTGCAGTTCCACTTAGCACTGACAAAATATATATTGTGTATGAACATTTTTTGTGCTAAAAAGTGGAACTTGGCATGTTATCCATTGATTTTTTTTTTTTTTTGCTCCCACAATAAAGCTGTACATATTTAAATCCCTTTTTCTTTTTTTCTAGATAGCTTTAATAATGATACATGTTTTGTATCATTAAAGCTGGAGTTTTTAGTTTTCTTTTGCCTGGCAAAGTTGTTTAGCAGTGTCAATGTATTAAAAAAATGGCATTCATAAATAGTAAGTACGATTATTTATGCTTGAACTTTTCAAAATGTGAGTCTTATGTAGCTTTTTATTGAACAAGTTCTTGAGCAGATGAGCACAATTTCTCTTTGAAAATGGAAAGTAGGACATACAGAATTTTTAGTGCAGAGGCTGATAATGATGATCCATGAATGGAATCTCTTCTCACCCTGCGACTTGCAAGATAATAGCCCTGAATGAGACTTTCTGCTTCTGAACTCAGTTCAGCATGAAGATTCCTAGCAAACAAAATAAACTAGAGAGAGGGCATACATTTTAAATATTTAACAGGAAAATAAGGAATTGACCTTTTCTCACATGTTTTAATATACCAGTGGCATAATAATACAGGCTAGACAATATATTCTACCAATAGCTTTACTAGTAAAGACAGTTGTCGCCATTTGGCTATAGTGAATAAGAAAAATATGAAGGATAATAACAAGGATACATCTTGGATAGTAAACAAAATTATACAATGGTTTGGGTTGGAAGGGACCTTAAAGGCTATCCCGTTCCATATTTACTCCAATGGGACACTTTCCACCAGACCGGGTTGCTCAGAGCCCTGTCCAGCCTAACCTTGAACACTTCCAAGGGGGAGTCGTCTGTTAGTTATGCTACAGATACTGACAATTCAACTAGAATGGAATATTAACTTCTACTACTGGTTGTAAACTTTTTAGTCAAAAATAGATATTGGAGATCTGTTCTCATATGAATATTAACTTAGTATGTTTTCCAGAAACACGATCAAACTGTATTTATTATACTGACCCTTTTCAAGATCTGAAGCTGCTTTTGTCAGTGATCCTAATAGTGCTAGTGGAAATATGGTGGGGGGGAGGGCAGACAGTGAGTATTAAAAGTAAGCAGACAGCAGAGAGAACTTTCTGATGCCAAAACCCAGTATGATATTCACAAATATAATGCATTTCTAATTGATTGTGTATAATTTGTTACCTCCTCGTAATCCTGTGTTCTGAACTGCTGTGAGACTTTGTACAGTGTGGCTTCAGGATTAATGGCTTTTTTCAAAGTATGATGTACAACAGGGGAAGAGAGGCGACAGGAAGGAAACTCATTGTAGATCAAGAGCCCAAAACCATCTACAAGGTTAACTGGAATCAAACTCACATCCTAAAGAAAAGACCCATAGAAAGAAAACATCTACTTTATTTTGGGGTTTTGACTTATAGAAGCATCACGGTGTTTTATATCTGAAATATCCTATATCCACTTACACTGCAAGATTATCTAATTAATTACCTGTACTACTTGGTAAAATGTTGTTTGAATGACACCTACTTTTTTGGGAAAGCTATCTCATTTTAGCAGATACTTGATTTAAAGCTATTTAAGTTGTGACTTTCTGGGAACTACTAACAAGTTTTATTGTTTTCATTATTTTATTGGTGGAAATAAACACCAGTGACAGCTATAGCACAGTTCCTGTCATAACAAGGCATGTGCTTTACCATCTGTCCAATTAGAAAGTTCTCCTTTTGTATATGTTTCTTTGAGGAAGAGTCCACATCTACAAAGGACCAAAAGTTGGTCTGAACTGAAACCGTAACTTGTTGGTCAGCCTCTTCTCCATACTTCTTCCCAGGAATAAATACTGTTGTTGTTCTGCTCTCTAGCACTAGGATAAGACAAAATTAATCAGTTACGTGATGGATTTAGTTTAGCTATAAATTCTAGTCCCACACACATTCTGAAATCAGTCATGATTATGAGTTTGCTGAATTGTTATGATTAATGAATGTCTGTAGTGTAGCAGATTTAAATTTACAGGACCTTGGCTTTTTTGTCTTTGTATTTTACACAGACGCATTAAAAACAGCATACAGATTTTTGCAGCATTTGAGGGCTATAAGCTGGGGAACAAACCTAGCCTTGATATTGCATATTTTATTAGTTCTGTACCCTCAAATGTTAGGAGGTGGGAGATTACCAGACTGTAGAAGTTCCAGTTTATCCTTTTTATATGAACTTAAGTCTCCTATATAACAGATGCCACCCTTGGCTAGCACAGCACTGCAGGCTTGAATACTGGCACTTCCAGTTCCATGTTTATCTTTGGACACAGAAGGAAAAATGTCACTGGAAGGTGGGTGTCGTATGCCACGAGGCAGAAGACATAAACTGTAATTCAGAAGCCTGGAGGATTAAATAATGCTGTCAGTCAAAAATTTTTAAATTATTACCTTCTAAAAAAACTTAGTAAGTATTAAGACTAACTTAGAAACAACAACAATAAAAAAAACTTATAGTGAAACTAGCATCAAAACTAATTGTTTTCCAACAGCTGTCATCAAGACACTGTTTCTTATACATTCTCATAATTTTGCCCCACATAGTTAACTCCTCTTTCTATTCTACAGAAACTTTTCCAGTGATTTAAAAGTTTAGAGGATTAGTAATTCTGGCCATTTGGGAAAAATGAAAAGGCTGCAACTTGCAAGCTCTGCTTTCCTGAGTTACACACTCCAATTCTTTTGGAAAAAGAAGGTATAAAAATACTTTTCATCCCCTGTACTATGTTCTTTGGCACAGAGAGATTGCAGATTGTCTGTCTGGTTCCACAATCAAAGGCTCTTAATGATTTTAAGATGTCAGAGCATGGTTTACCCCACTATTATGACCTGGAAGAAAATTACTAAGTAAAATTATTAAATAGGGTATTGCAGCAGTGGAAATATTTAGGAAATGCTTACTTCAACAGGCTGCTGACAGTGAATACTGTGCACATGCAAGATAGCATAAATTACAATATCAAATCATGATTTACAGTGTGCAACTGTTTTAATATTAACCAGATGTTTTGATTCTTAAAACACAACTGCTGTTTGTCTTAAGAAATCCTAATCTTAACCTATGAAAAAAAGAAATCTTGCCGTTCACATTTTTAAAAATTTGAACTAATTTCTACAACTAAATTTTAAAAAGGTCAGAGTTTTGGGATTTTTTTCACAACAAAAAATATTAGTGAATTGGTTGAATAACTTCCAGATGAAGAGAAAATTCATGCCCCTTACAGAGATCTTAAGTTATGGAAGGAGAAGTAACTTTGCTTGAATTAATGTAAATCTGAGCATATTGTACTTTCCTGCAGTGTATGTAAAATTATGTTAACAGTTTGTTGTTGCATGAATAGGTAAATACATAAAGTGCATAGTGAAAAATATTTAAAGGCAACAACAACAACCAGATTTATGATCTATGTGCAAAGATGCATGTGAATTCTGATACCTTATTGAATGGTTTTTATGAAAAAGAGATAAAAATGTAAGGATCTATTTATACACTGCTTAATTATACAAAAGGCTGATAGCTGGGAATCAGTGATGAAAGGGCTTGCACTGACACAAGGTTTGAAAAGTTGAGCCTTTTTTTTTTTTTTTTTGTTACCAGCTCTGGAACAGCCTTCAGTTTTGATTTTAGAAGAATGAGCTTTTATCTGAGCTCTGCAAAACAGTGCTAGTGTTAAATTCTTACCGTAATCTTATGAGAGTTTTTGTAGGTTTTATGATTAATGAAGTTCTGATCTAGAGTTATCATGTGAAAGAAACAAAAATGTCCAAGAGATAAAAATTGAGTATTTAACTAAGCTGAAGCCTTATGTATTCTTTTAAAACAAAGTCTCTAGCTTTTCATGTAAGACCAATCCTATTATCTTTAAAAAGACTAGATTTTAAATTCTAATTTATGTAAAAAAAAGGAATCTCTTTACCTGTCAATTACTAGTGTGTCACTTGTCATAATCAAGAGATCCAGATAATCTGCATTTTCTTTTTCACATGTCTGTACTAGACTCAGCAATATTGCAAGTTTAAGAGTATTGTAAGTGCCTGGTGGAACAACTTGAGATGCAAAGATGTTTGCCAGGACAGCAGTGAACCTCCAGCATGAACTTGAAGTCAGTGAGAGCAGATACTTAAAATTGTCACTGACAAAAGAAGGACCTAACGGAAACAAAGTACAGGTGAACAAACACATTAAAGAAACTTACGTAGGTAAGTTAGAACAAATAACCATTGGAGTCTTCATACACAAACTTACCAAGAACAAATATATCTCTGTATTAAGAACAAATTCAGAATGTAAGCATCTGACACTGTTAATTTTACTTCTAGAAAGGTAGCAGACATGATCTGCTAAAATTTCATGGAATAAGAAAGGAAAACCAAACTGAAATCTCAGGCTCATTTTATATTATTACAGAGTACTTTCCAATAGATAGGAGAAGATGGAAAGAGAAGTTGAAGAACTACCAAATAATTAGGGAGTTTGTCAATGCATGGAAAGCAGGCAAAAGCAGATATTCTCAAATAACAGCAAGTACACATTTCAGACTGTAAGAGGAAAGTCCCTGAGTGGTTTTGTAATCTGGACCTCTAGATAATAAAAAACTACCATTTCTCAAGATTTTTTTTCTAGGAGGTTTTCTAGGGTTTAAGTCAATTTTTAACGGAACTTTCTTACCATTTGGTTTATAGAGCTGTACACTATTGACTTCTATACACGCAGTCACTTGTAAGCCATTTTGTACACAAGCTGGAATTCCTATAATCCTGTAGTGGTTTCCTATTGACATTTTATTGGCCAGTTCATCTGCAAATAACAAAAAACTAAGTACATGGGGGCAAAGCTACAGATACGTTAGGGCATAAAAACAGTTTTAAAGACATGGTCAGAAAACTTCTACACATTCTGAATGTTTGATTTTATGATTTAACACTGGCAGAAAACAGCTGGAAGCCAGATTGATAATGGGTTAGAATAAAATGAAACATACAATTTTAATTATTTACTTCAAAAGATAAGGAAGGCACACCAGGTTAGGGAAAATAGATTTCATGATAAAGAAAATGGACAATGCATTTAGTCTTGCAATGAAAAGAAAAAGGATAGTTTTTTGCAAATATATTTCCTACTCTGAAGTTTGTGGCATCACCATTATCAGTCACTGTCCTATAAAATATCAGAGAAAAAACCCAACACAATAAAGAGGAGATACAAACTACAGAGATTTCAAAAATAGCTTTGTGAATTTTTATATTTTTGTGCACATTAGAAAACCAAATCCCATTTATTTTTTGAAGATGCGAATGTGATCCAACCAAATCTCAATCTCAGCCTGAGAAACACTGTATCTCAGGCTGATCACTAGAGCCAGCTGAAATTTACTGCATGCAACTCTCAGTATCTTGACCATAGATTGTTCTACAAATTTTTATCATTTTAGTACTACTAGTTCTTTATATTTAGTTTTCAATAAATGAACCATATAATTCCCTTGACTTTTGGAATGGATGAGGATTTTTTTGTTTCTTGTCTCTGTGTTTGTTTAGGGTATTTTTAAGAACTAATGGAAGTACATTGCTGAGCTGTGATTTTAGTTAGATATTAACATTAGAAACCATTTAATATTTGCAGTGGATGGCAGTGGTAGTAGAACCCAAAAATCCTGATGGAATGTGAAAAATAGCTAGATTGAGGAAGGATGTTAAATAAACATGAAGTTAATACAGAACACCATGACCAAAGGAAGTAGAAAGGGGGAAAAACCAAGCAACAGTTAGAATAAGACACTGCCGAGCTGGCCAGGGATTTTAATTAAATGGACGTGTAAAAGTGACACAAAAAATTTGCTGTGTACACTGCAATCACCTGTGCACAATGCTTTGTCACCTAGCTACTTTTTATAAAATTAATGGGGAAGTATAAAAAGAACTGCAATATAAATAATGACTTTCACCATTTTAACACAAAAAAAAAGGGGGGGGTTATTAATAGATCAATTCTAAAACATTTTTGACAGAACTCCAAAGTTCAGCTTACCTCTCAAGAACAATGTAAATGCCTGAATCCTAAAATGTGATTTATCAATGGAATATCCTTTCAAAGCATTCAGAATTTTAGCATCAATCATTTCAACTATTTGTTTATCTTTCAAAACAAAGGCAAAGAAAAAGGTTAATTTTCTTGAAAACATCTTTTATTAAAAGATTGGTTTTAAGTGGGCTTTTTCCACTTAAATATTTTGTTTACTTATTGTGTAATAGAAGTAGGGAACTACCATATCTAAAGGTAAGATTACATAGATCCTACCACCAAGTACTCTAAATTTCATGTCTTCCTGAAGTGGTGAAGAACACAAGCTACACACAAAATCAGTCCTCACTGTAGCAGACTCTGTAGCTCCAGGACAATGCACTCTGATGCACCTAAACCCTAAAAAAAGCAATATTTTACCAACCATTTAAAAGGAGGGCATAGCTCTAGTTTTAATTTTCCCATGGAGAACAGAAGCAATTAAATACTGGACAGTGAAATTCTAAAGTTATTATGTGTTTCTTCAGATGAGCCTCCCTTACATATGCCACTAAAATAATCCATCTAATTTATTATGTTTGGCCACGAGATGGCAGAGTTTCCTGCTGCACATTCCCTAAATGAACGGCTTGGCCGGGCTTTGAGGAGTGAGCCACCGCGGCTTCTGCCTGACGTGGGAATGACATGGGATAGGGATAGTCACTATTAGAGGTACGTGTCCTCGTAAAGATGTCTGTATGGCTTAATCTGCAGTCTCCAAACTTCGGGATTTTGCATCTCTTTTATAACTGTTCAGTCTCTTACAGAAGAAGGAAGAAAACAGCCTTAAAAGTACTTAGGGCATCTCTCTGCAAGGGTACAAAGAGTTCAGTAATACTATTCAAAGTAGCAGTTCCACAGAAGTCAACTACTCATCAAATAATCACTTGTTCTATGCTAGAAGCTTTTGCCATCTGCATGTTCTGTGGCATTTCTTTATAGACAGAAGAAGTTTCCAAGGAAACAGGTATGTTACTAGTTTAGCTTAGAGATATTGTCATTTAAGATATTTAAGTTATTTAGAATATTAAATATATTCAAATTATGCAGTTGAGTTATGTTTTCTCCTATAAACTATTTCTTCTATTAACTTCTTCGGCATTAAGACAAGGGATTGCTGGCATAGCTGTTCTTCCAAAACATTTAATAATGCTGAGCAAGTCCACACCTTTCAATTAACAAAAATCCTGCTATGTCCATTACAAAAATCTATGCATAATGAAACTATATAGGAAAATATCTTTGTTAGACTAGGCTTTTAATGTCTTATTACCAAATTTATTTAAAAGCTTTTGAAATAGTACTGATTAATTTTATATTTTTACTACCTTCAGAGAATGGGCAGGTTTCCTCAGTACAAAGAAATCTTGCTCCTTGTGTGTATTTTGTTACAGTTCCCATTGCAATCACTATCCCTTCAGACATATAAAATCTTTGAGACGTGTAATTAAAGGGATACGCAGAAAGACTCAGAACATAACTTGGTAAAGGTGGCAAATGTGTTGGTTTCAGCAATATACTGATCTAACAAGAGACACAATAGCATTAATATAAAAACATATTTTTTTATTTAAAACTGCTTAACTTTTCATGGACAAACAATGTGATACATAACTGTTAAAAAGTTTCAGAAACACATTAAGAGTAACTGGGTTTCCTATTAATTAATCTCACAATTGCAATGTGGTAGGGTGAGACTTCCAGCTATTTTTAATTATAAATAATACTGCAACCAAAGGGAAAATGAAAACTAAATACAACAATATTTGTTAATATTTCACTATACTTAGAAGATTCAAGATCTAAATGGAGAAAACCAGTGCAGACTCACCTGGGCTTCTGTCTGCAATTGTTCAATTAATGATAATGTCTTAATAGCTACAAAGCATACCTGTAATGGAAAAATAACTTCATTTAAGAAAGTAAAGTCTTATTAAAATTTAGATGATGCACTTTCTACTCATCTATTATACACTTACTGACTGAAAAATCTGTGCAGCTTGTAGGGGATTATGAAGAATATAGTTTCCAAGAGTTGCATCTAGTTCAGCAATGTCAGAAGGATTAATTGAAATAATGAAACGATAAACAGCGTAACTTTGTTTTGAGTCTGTAGGAGCAAAAAGTATTTTAAAATAATGGATTTGTTAACATTATGTATCAATTTAACAGACTATGTATTGAGTAATACCATTATATTTTTTGCAATCATGCACAAATTTCTGAAGGCCACCACTTCTGTCAAGGTAGACAAGGACAACTTCCCTCATTTTCTGTATTTCAGGACCCATCTTCCAAGATCTTTGCACATTCTATCCAACTGTGGGAATAAACCATGAAGAAATGATGGTAGCACTGTTACATGCTATAACAGGAATAATAAAGGTACATACTAACAAAGCCATACAAAATTAAAGGCACAAAACACAATTTTTAATAGGGATTTCCTGGCCCCCTCCCTCCCCCCTCAATGTCTTTGGGATTACTCCTGCACAGTAACTACTCCATCCCTTCAGGAAGAAGGGCTTAAAGGAATGTACACACATAGATCCACTGTATCTCCCTGGATCCTGCGTTACCCGGGCTGGACATGCAGGACACCACAGATGATCAGAAGGGATGAGCTATGGCCCTGCTCACTGTGCGCTGAGCAGCCAGCGCCCAATCTGCGGAAAACACAGCTAGACCAGGGTGTTCACCCCTGTCCCCACAGGCAGCTAATCCCACTCCAGGTGTGAGTCGGCACGAACACCCAGCATCTCCGCCTGGCTTCAGCTTCTTGCCACCGGCCCCCCTGCCTCACCAGCCGCTGCTCCCCCGGCCCGGCTGCCCTCAGCCCCGGGACGCCGCTCCCTGTGCCCGGGGTGGGGTGAAGGCCGCCCTGCACGGCCCGGCAGCGAGAGGGGCCCGGCAGCGAGAGGGGCTCGGCAGCCAGAGGGGCTCCGCAGCGAGAGGGGCCCGGCAGCGAGAGGGGCCCGGCAGCGAGAGGGGCTCGGCAGCCAGAGGGGCCCGGCAGCGAGAGGGGCTCGGCAGCCAGAGGGGCTCGGCAGCGAGAGGGGCCCGGCAGCGAGAGGGGCCCGGCAGCGAGAGGGGCCCGGCAGCGAGAGGGGCTCCGCAGCGAGAGGGGCTCGGCAGCGAGAGGGGCTCCGCAGCGAAGGGGCTCGGCAGCGAGAGGGGCTCGGCAGCGAAGGGGCTCCGCAGCGAGAGGGGCCCGGCAGCGAGAGGGGCTCGGCAGCCAGAGGGGCCCGGCAGCGAGAGGGGCCCGGCAGCGAGAGGGGCTCGGCAGCGAAGGGGCTCCGCAGCGAGAGGGGCTCCGCAGCGAGAGGGGCTCCGCAGCGAGAGGGGCCCGGCGGAGCGGCGCTCCCGGCACCGCCCCTCAGCCCCTCAGGCAGCGGCGCGGGGGCAGCGCCCGTGCCCAGTGCGAGTCCTCAGGGAAGGCAATTCCCAGCCCACGGCACACCCACAGCCGCCCCAGCCCCGCGACTGGCGCCTCGGCCCCACACAGTGCTGCCTTCAGCACGGGCAGGGCTCTGGGCACGGACGCTCTGTCAGCGTGCAAAGCACTGCGGCAACGTACTTGGCAGAACCATTTCTCTCATTAATACACATTGCATATTTCACTGTTGCCATTAGCTGGCAGGCACTTCCAAACTTAGCTGTCCGGGAGAACGCCTCTGAACTCTATTTGTGTCGTATTTTTACATGTTCACATTTTTACAACCACAGTGCATTTCAGTCAGTCCAATTTTGGTGCGGTCTCTCGTTCCCCTCCATGCCACAACAGCAGCACCGCTCCACAGCACCGCAGAAATGCCTGCTCCTCATGGGGTGCTTGGGCTCCCTCTCGGCAAGGGGAGCAACAATCAGACCCCTTCTACGACAGACAGGCAGAATAAAACCCCCTGCACTAATCACAAAAAAGCAAATTTTGCCTCCCTTTATTACTTATCAGCCAAAACAGGAAAGGAGTAGCACAGGTAGCTCCTGTGCAGGTCCACTCTCCTCTCTAGTTTCTAGCTTTACCAAGTGTTTCAGGTAGCACTTATATTCAGAGCTCAGCCCTGGGTGAAGCAGCCACAACACTCCAAATGCATGTCTTACTTTGGAAACCATCCTCATGGGATGCCCAGAGATGTGGAAACAAGAATACTGGGTACAGAAATACTACGATGCTTTATTGCTTGATGTACAGTCTGTTAACCTTTAGCTTAAAGAACTTGAGTACTTCAAGTCATGTGCTGAACACATTCACACTTTGCCAAAAAGGCAGACTCTGCCGAAGGAAAAAGCTTAATAAACAATTATTAAGCTGCTCTCCCAGAAATAACTTCAACTGTCACACTGTTTTTTTAAAGGAAAGAACCCCTGAATTCTGACACAAAAAACCTCTCATCCAGTCAGGCAGCTATGTATGAATGTCTTGGAATTCAAGACAAAAAATTTAAAGAGTGCTAGTTCCCACAACAATTTCTGAAATATTCCCTCTCCTTCCCATCCCTCTACAGCACTGTGCCTCCTTGCCTCAAAGAGAAGATAGTTACAGTAGCCACATAATTACACAATAACTTCAGGAGCACACAGACTAAAAATTCAGTATGAGAATGGATACTTCCTTTCATACCACCAATTTATTTCCCAGTCCATTAGCAAGCCATGTTAAAAAAAAAACAAAACCAGAACACAAAAAAAAACCAAACAAAAAACCAACCAACCAATCAACCAAACCAACACAAAAACTCAAAAACCAAAACAACCAACAATCCTCCGCCCTCAAACTAAAAACCTCAGGGCTGTTACTTCCCCATTATATTAATGCCCAGGAAACTATTCATGTAGCTGTTGGTTGTCCTGAACAGCTTTTTTCAACTCTTGCAGAAGAGAACTATGGAAAATGAGTGCCATGCCACCATTCTGCTCCTACAAATGATACAGTTCCTTCCTCCCCTGCCAATGTAAATTCTTACTTTTGACCCAATCACTCTTTCCAAAACCTCATGTAGCAGCTGCTAAGCATCACTTAACCACTATGTAGGACACTACTCTAGGACATACTCCTGATTTCCTTGAGGTAACCTTAAGGTAAGCAAGGAATCCTGTTTTACTTTCAGCTCTTCTAATGTTTTGATACATTTATTGTAAAAGAATTATGATTTGATACACTCTCTCCCCCTAGGTTCTTAATTCTTATCAGATCTTGACACAGTATAAAGTCTATTTATTTTAGCTGCTTATTTTGCCAAAAATAAAAGGTGCCTTAGATACTGAAATTTATGTAACATTCATTCAATTTACTTAAAATTGAATGAATGTTACATATTTGATGTATCAGTATCTTAGCAGATTTCTCTCAAATCAAGGCATTTAACTGCATCTATTTATGCATAAAAAACACTGAACATTTTTGGAGTAACAGACAAAAATAAGTTGTTATTTACAAGTAATATATATAATAAAACTACTACCATTATATGCCTTTTATACACTGTAACTGCAGTCAATTTTTGCAGTTTAAAAAAATTTCCTTAAACAGAAATTGTTCAGAATTATGTTTGTCCATACATGTGTATGTTATGAGAAATACAATAGCTTTCACATTCTTAATATTATCAGTGTAATTTACATTTTTCCCCCAATATCAAGTGAAGATTTAAAAATGGTGCAAACTGAAACACAAAGACAAGTAGCTATGAACACTGAAATACAATCAATTTGGAACATAAAAGTGTTTTAAACTACCAATATGTGAGAGAAATCCCTAATATTTGGCACGATCATCTCACCACCCACCCCTAAAATGTCAAAGCTAATTGACTTACTTTTAAAGTAACCATGATTATTGCATATTAGATCTTTGGAGAAGCAGAGCTTTAACCAAAAATATTTTTAATGTAGTTGAAATATAGACATACTTAGCTCAGGGAAGAAAGAAAAGTAGAACACGTAATACGTAATGTTATCAAATCAATCCAGTTAATTTGTTCTGTTCTTGCTTTGAGTAATCCCCCATACCTCAGATAATCCAGTTGAGTCAATGGGTACTTCAGCAAGTACAAGAGCAACAATCCAGTTTTATGTGATCAAGTTTTCCTTCTGCAGAAGTCCTTTAAGAATCTTGGTCCTTAACTTATTTAAGTGCTGACAGGTAAATTAACACATATTCCAAACTGGTAACAGGGAAAACATTTACCTTTTTTTAAACCAGAATATACAAAAGACATTTTGCATAGTTACAATTCAAGCACAAATTCACTGTAAATAAGTACAAAAGCATTTATAAATTTACTAAATTTGCTGCTGTTTTTGCCAACAAATTAGATAGGTATGAATGTAAACTCAAAGGGATTGAGGAGAACAGTCAGTATTTTTGCTTAAAAAATACATAGAGAATGCTTTTTAAAGGTTTTAAAAAATACTTTCTGCAGCAGGAACAAACAGTTCAAATCCTAAAGAAAGCCATCCAAAATGCCCAAATTCCTCCTGTACAGCAGAAAAAGTTTGTTCATAGGTTTCAAACCTATATACAAGATGAGGCACTATTTACGCTATTTTGGAATGTGTCCATAAGCCTAACATTTCAGTTCAACCCAAGACTTCCAAAACACTCTTCACTTCTAAGTTCCTAGGAAAATCCATCTTCAGAAGGTGGTGCATAAGAAAATCCAACAAATGCATCATCTGCCTCTAGGACACTGGCATTAACAATGTTGTAGTCAGAAGAAACACAAACAGAGTATGGGACCATTTCTTCTGTGAATACTGCATCAAAATTCCCAATATCGTCCGGTCCAACCTAGAAAACAGAAGGATCTGTCAGTCATCAAATTAAATAGTGTTTTAAACTTGTGCTTGTCCTTCAGATTCCAAATTTAACTCTAAAAATCATCTATTTTGTTGTTATATTCTATTTAAGCAAATAAATTTAAGGAAGCACATTGCTCCTTCTCTGAAAATAGGTATTAAAAGGCTGTTTTTTTTTCAATGAAGTTGGAGTTTTGACCAAATCTTACACTCTTAATGATCTGATAAGCCTAAAAATAATATGAAAATAGTCTCTCTTAGGGAGATTAGCTCAGCTTGTTAGAGCATGGTGCTAGGAGCACCAAGTTTATGGGCTTAGTCCCCATATGGGGCATGCACTGAAAAGCTGGGCTTGATGATCCTTGTGGGTCACTTTTAGCACAGAATATTCTGTGATGTGTGATCTGAGATGCAAAGCCTAACAGAGTTGCCATTCCCCAGGCACCTACCACATTAGGATTAAATGGTGGTGGAATCTTCTTCTGAAGAAGATCAGTCCAGCTGAGAGATTCAAAGAACGGGTGCTTTTGAATTTCAAGCTGTAGCAAACAATAAAGAATTTAGGTATTTCATAAATCCATCCTGTGCATCATAGTAAACATTACTTCATACTACATGTAGATAGGGAAGTTCTCATGTGCACGTCCTTATGAGTTTGTTTATTCACAATTTACTTTGCAATAAAAGCTGTAGTCAGTAAAAAAAGCAATTAAAATTTGTGAGACTGCCTCTACAAACAGTTTTCCTTCTAAAACCATACTTTCTGCTTTTAAACCCTAAAATCAACACTGAGTCTACCCCAGAACAAGAATGTCTTCTGTTGATATCTGTTCCTGCCTTAAAGTTTTGTTAGCTTTTGTAAAGCTAACCTGAGAAGCAGGTGCTTCAACAACTCTACAATATACTTACCATTTAAGAAGCAGCAAACAGCTGTGCTAAATCCTTGCATCTTGCTCAGTTGCAAGGTCCACAGACTAATGTAAGGACTGCAAACCAAAGACTACAAAGATCCCACCACTAATGGATGGAGTACATCCTCTAGATCATTCCTCATTGCACCGTTCTGAAGACACCTGTAACTTTCTCACATCAACTTTTTGCAAACAAAGGTTTTGTTGCTACACTGGGAAAGTGTCTGCCATGATTTTAAGGCTAAAAAAAAAAGCTGCTGTTTGCATGGAACTAGTGTTCCTCTTTACCTGAAGACTGGTTTCCAAATCATTAGTATTACTATATGATAGCCTTTTCTTTTGGTTATTTCCCAGTTTCACTATGAACAGTAAAACCTACTTCTCTACATCTTAGTGACTGCTACATCAGCAACTGTTTCTCCAGCAGGTACAGCAGCAACCAAGCTCAAAATACCATGCAACAATCACTGCTCTCTTATCCCCAGCAACTTCCAGGGATAGACCCCACTGGTGTCTTTACAGAAGAACTAAAAAAGAGGAAATCAGAGACAGATGCAGTAATGCAGTTTCTGTCTCCAACTATTAATCCTGCGCTGTGCACATTAATTTAGTGAGTCCCTTTAAATAAAATAGGGCTTGATAAATTAGGACATTACTTACAAAGTCTTCCTTTGCTCCAAGTCTGCTTTGCCGATCTTTCTCCAAAAGTTCTTCCAGGATAGACCAGGCTGTAAGACTGATTCCTGGGCGCAAAACCAGGGGCTTATGAAGAATATTATCGTACATCTCAGCAACATCACGGCAGTAAAAAGGAGGCTAAAAAAATACAAGTTCTACATGAATTTGAAGCCACATGCAATGTTGTTTCATATGTTACAAATGATCAGTAAATGATTCTGTAAGACATACAGGCTTATAGCAGTGGAGCAGAAATCTTTTTATGCACTGCTAACTTCAAATTCAGTCATCACCACTGCCAGAACTTTAGACTTGGTAACTTCCCACCACCTGCCTCCTCTACTCCTAACGTGTTCTTACACTAATAAGTAGCCATAGATGCCATCCTGCTTCAAAGCTCCCACTGAACTTGCCTGAAAAGAACCTGAGAACTGTAAAACAAATCCATCTCCCTATTTAAGGTCCTATGGGAAGAGACAGAACTCAAAAAAACTAGAAGAACAATTCTTACTGGAGTAATCACATATGACTAGAAGAAGCATAGTGAGATTTTTTTTTTTTTTTGTTCTAATGCTGTCAAAAGCTAGGAGAAAACCTGGGATACCTAAATAAAAAAAAAAAGTATTTTAATTTTATTTATTGCAATATTTGACAAAATTTTACTTTTAAGTTGCTATGGGTTTTTTGTGTATTATCACTGTTGATTCAGTTTACTCTCACAGTCCCTCAAAGTGATGACTGATTTTGCTGATGTCTCCAATTTTGCTTTTCCATGAACTGTAAGATACCAGGAGGTGATGTAAAATCCAAAAAAGAAAAACAAGTGCTATGTAAGTACAAGACAATCTGTTAATCTCCTTAAATGGAGTATTCCAATATTATGGAAAAGTTAGTATCTTTAATAATACTCAAAAGTCACTTCAAATAAAAGGGGAGAGGGGAGGAAAACAACCTTTATTTATCAGGTACATACCAACCCATAAAGCATCTCATAAAGAACTGCACCAAGGCACCACCAGTCTACTGTGTTGTCATAGGGCTGCTTTTTAATGACTTCTGGTGCAAGATACTGAAATGAATTAAAAAAAAAAAATCTTTAGAGAATTAGGCTAGCATGGATAAAACCTAGGGTTTAGTCACTTCACAGTAAACACTTTCAAGAAAAGTTGCTTCATAACACTCAAATGTTTCAGCTAAATACTACACCTCATTCGTCTTTCACTGTATTCAAAGGTCATTCCTGTAATTTAAAGTATGTTTATCAAGTTACCAAAGTTTCTAATCCTCTATTTGGTGAATCCCTCATACATATTCAAGCCTTCTAAATTTTCCAGTGCAGTTTTCCCAGTAAAAAGACAACAGAGTTCAATAACTCAATCAGCAAGTTCAAAGTTTTGTGCATATGCAATAATTTGAATGGGGCACAGATATTAGTTCCCTATAAACTTACTAAGAATCAATGGCAGGATATGGTATGAAGATTCATATTGAAAAATTTGTAGCAGCTGTTATACAATCTAACTGTCCTGTGTCTACCCAGCAGTTAGGAGACAATGGAGAAAACAGTATTCGAAAAGGGCTGGAAAAACAGAGGAAGGAAGAGATGAGTTATGGCCATGTGGGTAGCAAGTAGTAGACACTGTATATTAGTAACAACAACAATGAATAGATGTGTAGGGAGCTTGTCTTTGGGTTGGTTTCATCTTGTTCAAAGAATGCAAACCTCCCAAAAGTAAAATACAGAGTATCTGACCGTCCAGTTACACAAATATTAATAAGAGGTCAACAGTCATTAATTACTGATTAAAAACCCATGAAAGCTGTCAACATACTTCTGGGGTCCCACAGAAAGTTGCAGTGGTATCAGAAGTTGCAATCCCTTCTTTACAAAGTCCAAAGTCTGTCAGGACAACATGACCCTGTTTAAGAAAGAGTGGTAAGTTAAAAAGAGAACATGTTCAACATGTGAATACACAGAAGTGTCAATTTTGTGAGAGAACACAGAAAACAGAAATAATCTTGTGTACTTACTAGTGAATCTAGGAGAATGTTTTCTGGTTTTAAATCCCTATTAAAAAAGAAAAGGTAGTAAATCAAAATAGCAGTCACAAGTGCTTCAGAGGCAAGGGGTTTTATTATTCTTCAGCTGAAAACTTTGAGTTTTGATGAAAGTGTTATGTTCAGGTTTCCTGTAAGATGATTTCTTGTAGAGTTTATTTCGTAATTTGTCCTATTTTGAATTTCTGCAGGACATGGATACCTTTCAGAAACTTACCTGTATACTATATTTATGGAGTGTAAGTAGCCCAGTGCACTGGCTATTTCAGCAGCATAAAATCTGGCTCTGTGCTCAGGAAAGGAACGTTCTCTTTGTAAGTGAAAGAACAGCTGTAAATATGCAAATAGGAAATAAATTACATAGACAAAACAAGTCAGGTTAATAACATGTAATTTTACAGTGAAGAGTAATTTATCTTGCTGTCCACTTTTTTTTTTTTTTAAAGCACAATGAAATAGAATTGGTTTTTCTGCATGACAAAGTCATTATTTTACTCTCTTCCCTGCTTCTCTTTTGTGGCTCAGATGGATAAGTAACTCAAACACATTCCCTTAAAACCAGAACTAGTCAAAAGGAGCTAGAGTAAATCACTAAGCTGTGAATAGAAGTTGGTAAGACTAAATCATGGAAAATTGCCTCCAAGGAGAATATATAACCTGGTGTCAAATAAGTCACCTTTCATTTCTGAAAATATGTGTATTCAAAGATTTGCATAATTATTTATAGAATTGTATTCTGAAATAACCTAGATGTAGATCATTGTGTGAGATGTATATTCCAAGCTGATCCACCAGTTCTCCCTACTACAGAGAACTGTTTGGCAAATAATTTGAGCAGATACAGAAGTCTAGACAAATATTAAATCATAAACATATAGATTCAACTACAGGACACACTCAACTTGTAAAGACTTTAAGAAAAATGAAGTTTTCTGGTTTCTGCCTACAAAGGTCAGGAAAAATAAAAAGGCACCCATTCAAATTTGAAAGCTGCTTTGAACTGTATTTTTAGTTTGCCCAAAAAAATACAAATTCTGACCACAATTCAGAGCAAACCAAGATTTTGATAATACTGTCTAAGTAAGGTACATTAGACAAGAGAAATGCCCATCTTGTTCCAACTCTGACACAGTATAGTAAATTCAGTTGTCAGTTTCCTTTCTTCCCCTTTTGAAATATCAGCATCTCAGTTAATGCACATTCATGAGGAAGCCAGTGTTCCATGGTGAAAAATGTAAACATAGGATTAATTTGTAATTAAATTTATATTACTGTAAAATACCATATTTGTATCTGACAAGCATGAATAAATTTGGATTGAAGATGTCAACAAGAACCAGAATAAGGTTCAAATAGCTACAGAAGTCTGTAGCAACATCAGATAATAACAGAATTTTCAAAGTTGGGAGAATGCTGATCACAGCCCATTGTAAAAGATCACTTCACTTCTCCCACCTAGAATTAGTAGAATAGACAGACTACAATGCAAACAAAACCATCACATACCTCTCCTCCATTAACAAAATCCAGGACAAAGTAAAGCTTTTCTGTTGTTTGGAATGAGTAATGTAGTCCAACCAAAAATGGATGTTTCACATTTTTCAAAAGCACATTACGTTCAGCCATAATATGTTTTTGCTGCAAGAAGTAAGAGATTGATAAGTAAACAGGAATGATTTTGTAATTGAGGGAAAAAACAAGGGAGGTGGGTGGAAGAAGACTATTAACCTCTTTCCTATTGAGAACAATTTTTTTCTGCAACACTTTGACAGCATAGTATTTCCCATCCAGTTTTCGTTTTGCAAGAAGAACCTGTGAAATTCAAAAGAAAAGAAATCCGATTGTTGCAGTTCACCGACTATGGGTAACATTTTATCATTTTGGCCAAACTGGAAGGGATTCATGCTACTTTTTCACAATATAGCTTTTAATAGAGTCAGTCAACAATGTAATTGACAATAGAGTGAGCTTACAGTTCAGTAAAAACTTATCATGATGACAGTGGTATCATGAAAGATTGAATTATAACATGTTTTCCATGACCTGATAAATCTCTATCAAGATTAATTTCAGCTTTTTTTGGGGGATAAATTGTAAAGATAATTGAATGAAAAACAGCAAAAAAAATTGAAAATTGATATTTCAAAAGGGATTCTCTTTGGCATCTTTGTAAAATATCAATACTTAAGTCACTTTTCAATGTGCTGTTGCTCACACTGCTCCATAGTATCAGAGGTTTCACAAAATAGTCCCTGACATCAAGAGGAAAAGCACAGTTTGTACTCCAGCTGCTGAATAAGCATAGGGGTACCTCCTTTCCTCCCTGGGGGAAACAGGATCCTAACTGCTTGCAATGAGAAAGGGAAAATCTCCCTTTTCTTAGTCCCAGCAAGTGGCTGAGGCAGCCAACAGCTGCACCAAGGATAAAATGGCAGGGCCACAGATCAGCAGCAAAGAGGATCCAACAGAACAGTTTATAGGCCACCCTAGAGCAACACCACTTCTGGAACCTCTGGCCAAGTCACTGTGCACGAGAAACCAGCGAGCATCCTTGCATCACCATAAGATAACAAAAGCTCACCTTGCCAAAGCTGCCTTTCCCAATAACTTTCAGGAAATCAAAGTCTGTTGGTTTAGCACTGAAAGATATTTAGGAAGGAGACAGGTCATCTGGGTAGAAATTACAAGCCTTATAGCTGTACAGCAGTGTAGTGTAGCACAACAGCATGTAAGCACCCTCCTTTTCTTTGTTCCACCCAGCACTGCTTCTGCAGACCTGTCCTCAGACACAACAACTCCTCTTCATTTTGCAATTGCATTTTTCTCTAGGAAAGTGTTCAAATTGCATCCTCTGAGTTTATTTTATTTACTAAGTTTAACCTTATGATGTAAAGGAGAAGCAAGACCATTCTTTCATTCTCTGTGGTCAAGTTTCTTGTAATTTTTAAATCTCCATTTCCCCATGATGTCTCCTGGAGCTTATTTCCAGCAGTCCAAATGGATTCTAAAGCTTACTTGAGGAAAGGAAGGACCAAGTTTATTATCTATTCCCTCTTATTTGTTCCATTCTTCCCTCCATCCAATTCTGCCTTGTTTTAAATTTCAGTAAGAAGAGGCACATCCTAACATTTGCCTCTTCTTGGTGTTTGTATGAATTTGCTCTCAGTTTTTCCATTTCCCACATCATCACTCCTTTCAGTTTTTCCCAGGATTCCCTTACTCTTTCCTGAATACAATTCTGTCAGCAAAACAATTATCCGTGTTTTCAAATTCCAAAACAAGTTACATCACCATACACCTCTCTATTTATTGCTCCCCAAGGGAAGGACTCTTATATTTCATTTCTTACTGCAATCTACTAACCACCTCCTCCTGCTAGCCCAGAAGAAATCTGTGAGGAAAGCAAAACCAAAATAGCAGTTATCTCCTAGAGGAGAAAAGCAAATTCACACCGAATTGAGAACAGAAACTCTGCAGAAGACACCAAACAGAGACACAAGTTTCCACTGCAGTAACTGGGTTGTAGCACCAACAAGGCAAGCTGCTCCTTTGGCATGCAATAAACCAAACTTGTTTTCAGACACTGCAGGACCACTCCTAAGGTCAGTCTAACTTTTCAGGTTTTAAAATTAATTTTAATCCAATTTAATTAAGTTTTAAATTTACACTAAATTGAATTACACGAAATTCAATTTAATTGAAACCTACTGAGGATTTCCAGATGGTCCCAAGTTGATATTCTGTGAGGTAGAGTTTAACTGTTGAGAGAAACAAAGATGTTTACTTGTAATACTTTTTCTTCTCTCTTATCATTCAACCAATACTAATTTCAAAATACCCTACTGATCTGCTCAATCCATACTTTTATACTTGTTACATTAGAATTTTAAAGAGATCTAACATCTAGATTGGGAACTTAAAATACCTGATCATCATCACCTTGTCACAAATTCTTTCTACACACATACTGTTCCAAGATGAAGGTAATAAAATATCTGTGTTCATTCAGAGAGGAAAATATCAGAAATAAAAACTGGAGAGTATTTCAATAAACAACTTGTTCCTCATTCAGAACTTAACCCTTTCTCTACTTGCTTCATGAACATATATTCTGCCTTTTATTCCAAATTCTCCAAGATCTGACTAATACAATAATTTTAAACCCACACTGTTTATAAAAGAGTAATTAATGAAAGACACAGTGCTTTTAAAAACATGGAAGTGAACATTCTTCCAAGCCCAAGAAAAACATTACCAACCTTTTCTATCCTGACATTAAAGGTTAAATAACTCAATTCCTGGAATTCCATTAATCTTACTGGTACACACCCATGCAGAATTTGTAAATTACAGGAGCAGAGGAAGCCACTGTCATTTAGGTGATTTTCTCCATTTTGTTTTTGATTTAGAAAAGTGGTATTTGTACTCTCATTGTGATTCTGGAATTTATTAGAGAAGAATAAACTGCACATAAATACAATTTACCTGGGGACAGGCTGCCAAGGCAGCACAAAGCAGTAGTCCAGAAGTGGAAAATGCTCTGACAGCAGCACTGGACGCCACTACGCAGTGAAATGAGCCAGTGGTGCTGGACAGTTTCGAAAGAGCTACTGTAAAAAAGACTTTTTATTTTTTTGAAGGCTTTTTTTTTGTTCCTTGTTGTTTTGCTTCATCATTTACACTAACCATTTCCACCAAAAATATGGGGTCCAGGCCATTTTGCAGTAGCTCTCTTTTTGGAATTTGTTGTAGTATGACACATCATTAATTTTCCAGAGGTGGTTTGTATCATTCCACATTACTTAAAATAACTTTCAAAGGAGGAGGAAACTGGTATCTTAAACTAGTGACTTTAAAATGAAACTTTCAGAACATACTAAATCTCCTGAGGATCACACACAAAATGAAACAACTCTTACGTCTTTAACAGGGGTTGAATAAGAAAAGAAGCATTAATATCACATCTTTCTGCCAAGTGGTAAGTAATAGAGAAGATAAGCTTAAATATGGCACTTCTGCTTTCCCAGAAATACTTCTTTTTTCAAACAGCACTGTTTCTGGAGGCTGCAAACTAATTTTCAGAGAATATATCGAGCTATATAGTGGCTTTTTTGACAAAAGAAAATTCAGACCTCACACATATGTGAAATGAAATCAAATCCATCCTTCCTCCTAAGTGAATTTTAGAAAGACTCATTTTTTCCCCTGAGAGAATTCTATTTCTCCCCATCTTTAAAAATGAAGAATGCACAAGCAAACAAAAAGACAATTAAACATTCAATCTCCCCTGCTCCTTGCCAGATGTTCTTAGAAAGAGCCCTTGAATACACTGCAAAAACTCTGACAGCTAAGCTATGACTAAAGTTGTGTTTCTTTAACCCATATAGCAAGGGGAGAATAAGCAAGACTAAGCCTGCAATCATTTTACTCCTATCTGCAGTTCTCATCTGACAGAAAAATAGCTTACAGCCCACAATAGAACCGAGTTGTTTAAAAGAACAGGGAGAGGATTTATTGCAAAATGACCAGTAGATTTCAGTAAATAATATACCTAAGAAGATTGCCTTCAAGTAGCTAAAATTTAGAAGACTGTTCTACTTCTGTTTTATTACCTTCCGACTGCTCCTTTCATCTTCATCTTCAGATGGATCTGACTGGTGTTTTGGGTTATCCATCTGAAGAAATGCTCTGACATCTGGGCTAGAAACACAGTTAACTTCATTAGCACACCAATAATCTGCATGATTTTCAGCCATAAACACAGAGCATAGGATTGAACAGCAGCATACAGAGGAGTTACTCATCACAAAGTCTTATATTTAAGTTCTGGTAACTAAGAGCTGTATACAAGCAATACTTTTACAGCAACATAATTCAACTGCCAAGTGTGTTATACAGCAAAAACTTTTCACTTGCAAAAACCTGACATATTGAAGCATATGTATATGAAGACTTCAGAATGAAGACCTGCAGAACTGCATTTAAAGATAATTATAAGAAGAAAGCATGAGTTCTAACTGGCTAGCAGCCACCAAGAAACCAACTTTCTTCCCCAAAACAGAAGAGTTTAAATTTTTTTTTCTAAAATTAATTGAACTGTCCAATGCAATAGGGAATTAAATGCATCATCTGTATCCCAAGGAAAGACACATGTTCCAAGAGATACACAGCAGTAATGTTCCTCTCCCCATTCACTTTAAAGCAGAAGATGGTGATCTTGTATTCAGAATTCCTTCTGGCTGGGCACTGTCAAAACAGTGTTACAAAATCCTTCCAGTCAGTTGCAGGACACAAATGCTTCAGGAATTAGTGACAGGCTTCCCACAGTACCTAAGGAGATGCATTTTATCTTCAGCAGCAGTTTCAAGCTCTTGTTTTGATGGGGCTGGGGGACAAGGACTGAGAGAATGGTGGCAAAGTAAGAGAATTCCAAGAATTTCTTCTTCCAGGATGAAAGGCTTGTCCAACAAATCAAAAGAATGCAACGTCTTTCTGAACCACAGCACAGTGCAAGTAAATATTAATGGAATACAACTGAGGAGAAATTAATTCCTAAAAAGATGGCTATTGTGTATAGCCTGTATATACCACTTCAAGAGATGGTTTGAATCTTTCAAACCAAAAGGCAACCTTCTTATCAAGGAAGAAATACTACCTACATTTCAGAGACAAAGTTGTTTGAGAAGGACTCAGGACAGTCACTGATAGGAAACTCCACATGAGCCATTCACTACAAGAAAAGCACTAGCTTAATATGGAGCTGCTCTTTTAAGCTGTCCCTAGAATACATAAAGTAGGGTAATTTTAAGTAAGAAACAAATGTACTCCCTATTTTCAATCCATTCACCCCCCACATCTCTCATCAGCGAGGATCAGAAGTAAGAGATAAGCTGTTTCTGACACATCTCCAGCTCCTGTAATTTCCTGTCAGCTCTACTGAACCTACCTCATATCCCAGGCTGAGGCTTCCAGTTTTTATCAATTACATTCTGTATTCCTAAATCCTCCAGTTTTCTAAATTCTTCAGTTACCTTCAGCCTTTCAGGTTTAAAGCACAGCAACAAGACTATTTACATAATTGCCCACCATCATTTCAGTTTAATACTTCCCATTTTATATGAACTCCAAATTCTGATCTATTTCAGCATCTGTCTTGTATCCTGAGGCCAGGAAGACAAAAATCACAGTTGTTTGAATATTGTAGTAATACTGGGTCATGATGCAGCAATTTAAGTTTCAGAACATTTGGATATCATAAAATCAAGAATAAAAAGTTATGGTTAATGCTTTTCACTAGACATAAAAACAGAAACAGACTTTAATTACCTTTCAGCATTAATTATTTTAGACAACTGTTTGATTATATAGAGCATGTTGTAATACATCTCAAATAGTTACTATAGTAAATTTGTTCATGACTGAATTAACAGCAGGAAAAACATAAAAATACCAATTCACAGGAAAAGGTGGCAATACAGTTGCAGGATATTCCACAACTCCACAATAGCCACAATCATAACTGATTGATGTTACACTGTTCACATCTGCAATTCTAAAAGCACTGCAAAGAACTACCGATTAAAAATAAAAAGTTTTATGTACCAATTTCTTAGGCAAGATTGCAGCATGTAATGCAAAATGCTATACAGACTGATAGGACTTCTATGCTGTATTAACTTGCATGGATTAACTCAATGTATTTAAGAATACATGGAAACTATTCCTAAAATAACCTCACCTATGAAATTAAAAGGGTTGAGAAAACCACTTAAAAAGGGATACTTAGTATACACTGTACATATACTACCAGCAAAACTTGGTTTTGTCTGGATTTTTATGATTGATTGAATAAATTTAATTTTTGGATTATTTCTGAAATACACAAAAGAGTGTCAAGCTCTGCTTAATACTGTTGCTTATGTAATAGTCATTCTGCATTAGTCTTCCTGCAGAAACAATATAATACCACACAAAAATTTTAGACACACGCAGAAATATGAACAAACCCAAAAGGTCACACAAATTTTAAAGCAAAATGGTAAAATTAATAGCCAGTGACAGAAACTTAACATTTAAGACACACTTTATTTAAATAATAGTGCCCAGCTCCTCCCTCTTCTCACCATATTTTCTTAAAAAGTAAACCATTAATATCTTTCTTACAGAAAGCAAAGGCTCAAAAAGCCCTAATACAGTAAAGTACAGTAATACTTTAAAAGAGGACAATAATATAGTGCAAGGTTTGCTTTCCCCAACATGGACTGCAAAATTCTACTATTCAGGGTTTTCATATTCATTTTTATATGCATCAGATTTTGAAATCAGAAAAAAAACTGTGAGTGATTTTCTTGTAAGGAACACATTCAGACCCTGCCTCTCACTTAGAGAACTGATAATTCACTTCCCCACAGGTTGCAGAGAATTGTCATCCTTCAGTTCTTCAAGTGTTATGCAAATGTTCTCATTCTCATTAAGGAGCTACTTTGGATTATTTAAAAATAACTGCATTACATCTTTAATGAATCCTCTATTATACAGTTTTTCAAACAGGTTTTCTTTGGACACATTCTGATAGACAGCAATTAAATGCATTAATACTTCAGTGAAGGCCTACATTTGAGGGGGTGAGCAGCCCACTTTCAGGAATTGTGTAGCGTTTTAGGGAGGCTCACAGTGCTCACTAGGAACAAACTCCCAGCTCCTGTTAAGGACAGCAGTCAGCAAGGGGGACACATTATCAGACCTCTGTCCCTCCTGCCCTACAGATCCCTACTTTTTCTTGGAACACCTACATTCTACCTGTGAGAGCAAGCTGTCTATTACAGTAAATTTGCTGAGGAAATGCAACTTGAAGCTAGTCCACTCAATTCCCAATTTGGACTAAGCCAGTAATCTCACCCTGTATCCACCTGACAGTGACCGCAGGAAAAACTGTCACAGGTTCTCTTCTAAGCACTTCAATACACCTTAGGTTTTTCTTGGATTTTTCATTGAGTAAGAAGGTTTGGCTTCGATACAATATTCAAGAAATGTGCCAGATCCAAGAAAAAAAGTCCACTGATGGAAAACAAGAACACAGTTCTGCATGTTTCAAAGAATAATGTAAATATTACCATCTTGGACACACTGAATCTTGACTGAATTTGTGCTTTTCTCTTCAGATGTTTAGGTACCTTCCCATCCAGAAATGGGAACACTTTGAATCATCCTTATGCTTTTAGTGAAACAATTCTCCTAAGCAGGATTTAAAATATATTACATGCTGACAGTGGTTTTAATGCTTAAAAGAGGCAGTGGAAGGTGGATTTCCTAACGGCTCTGTGAGAATGCACAACCCACTAAGTCTTCCTTGCACATCACTAACTTTACATAAGTTTTATGACCTAGTTTCAAGTTTAATTAGCACATTAAAGCAAAACTAAGAAACCAAGGATGGACTATCTGTGAAGACTCAGTCATCACATATCCCTTGAGTAGCTTCTGTCAGATTTTACAAAACATTCCAAGCACCAAGATCAAAGATTTGGTATTTCTTCTATAACAACATTCACTGGCACAACAGAAAAGGTGACAGATTACATAATTATGAATATGATTGTTGCAGTGTAACACTGCAAAAAGTAAAAGCTAACTTCAGAACAAAGAATCACCTTGCAATGATTAAAAGAGAAACAACATAGAAATTACTACAAAATTAAATGCTTTTGCACTAAACTGTGGATTAAAGGTTTTTCTCCTGCTTAATTCAATATTTCTTTAAGGGTGGGGTAGAGGAGAACAGTACAAGACAAACTTTGGTATCTATTTATTGTTTTTATTGTAGAACTCTGTTTCATAAGCTTATTATTGAACACACTTTCATCAGCACCAAACACTATCAGGCATATGTCTTAACCCTGGTTTAAGTTAGTTTAATGGATCAGGCAATCTAAGTGCCATATTAAAGATCATTGATTCTTCTACATTACAGGCAAGTATGAAACAATTTTAAAACCTCACAAAAATTTATGGAGGCAGGTGGATTTGAGGTTTGATGCCTTTTTTTTTTCAGCACAGCATTTTGTGCTTTCCATAACAGAAAAGCACCATTTTATCTTTGGAGGACAAATAGAGCATGTTTTGAAGCAGAAATATTTGGTAATTTAATCTACTGAGAACCAGAGGAGGAGATTGGCCTAAATAAACCAGTATCCTTTCCCAATGAAACAAAACAGATTGGGTCTCAGTAATTTGTTATATTAAACTGCTTTTTATTATTTCCCAAAGAATAGTACCATGAATATAAACACCACAGTGTTTGTTCTGGTGGAAAGGTATCCTTCCATAAAGACTTCATCACTAATTTTTTTTCACTAATCAAAATAAGTATATATAAAATGCTCCTATTTTTATTTTTCTAGAAAAGAAAGGAAGACTGCGTATTTCAGGCTGATAGGACACTAAATAGTTCATTTGTTGTGAAAAAAGAATGCTGCGAACTGCAGTGATATTCTGTTAAGAGATACAGGTTTCCTGTGGGAAATGGGCAATTTCACAGGTTGTACAAATAGGCTAATTAAACAAAGCATATTTATTAAAGACATTTACTCAACACTAAATCTAAGCATATAGCTTTACCATTTTACCAGTTCAAGCAACCTAGAAAGCTGCATGGATTTAGCTGAAACTGATTACAGCTTTTGACTGAAAGAAGGTGCCTCTTTGCCCTGCAGTTCTCACACAAAGTGCTGCTCTCCAGATTTAGCTGGGGCTGACTCTGTCCTAACACCATCTCCCATGCACCACTGGTAGTGGTGAACACAACTGCAGTTCTTCTGCTGGGAAGAGTTCAGGTACAAGTTTATTCATCATTTCCTTTTAGACAGCTCAGCTTGGTTGTCCCAAACCACCTCAGCAAGCTAATTAAGCCACTTGGTTACTGTGCTTTAAACAAGTTCTGGAGCACACATGAACTGCTCTTAACAAAAAAAAGGATGCAGGCAGTGACTGACTGCCAACAACACAGCAGCAAGTGACAGCAGGGCCCTCAAACAGTACAGCCACTGGCAAAACAAACACCTGCCCAGCACAGCAACAGTTTACAGTGGAATCTGCACCCCTGGAATTAAGATCAGTTAATTGCCTGTAAATTGATTTGTAGGTTGGTTTTCAGAAAACAAAAACACTTTTATACTCTTCAGTCTGTAGAATTTCCTGAATGGATGGCCATATAAAGTTTATTTTTTTAGACAAGAGCTCTGAACAGGTAAAATACATTTTCTGGTTAAATATCTAATTTGCAATTTTGTATTTAACATATCTTTTCATCTCATGTCTTTTCAACAGCCCTTATAAAACAGAAATGGAACTACTTACTGGTTGCATAGCTCTGGCTGTCTAACTAAATTTTGAATGAATTCATTCAGTCCTGCTCTTCTCTGTTTAATAAAATCTGAAAAAAACAGATTTATTAGAATCATCAGTCAGCTTGTGAAAAAAATTTATTTTCTTATTCAGGTTTTTTTAGGATTTAAAACAGCAGTTAAAGTAGACTGGCCCATGACTAATTTAGAACAAGATTGGTTCTACATATAAAATCTGCAAGCTTTAAACATTGAACTGAGCTGAGAGAATAAATTTCAGTGTCTCTGTAATGCTACTTAAAAATGTTGAAAGGCAGGTGGATTAGAAGTGCCACCCTGTGCTTCAAGAACAGTGTGTAACCACAGTGGGCTAACCTGTGCAGCTTTCGCTGCATGGGTGAGCCCTTCAGCACTCGATTCCACAGAAACAAAAACCCCAAGAAGCCACAGGCAAAACCTGACATCAGTTGCACAAGTCAAGTTTTTTCATGAACAGTCCCACCAAGCAACATATTTCCATACTATATGTATGGCAGGTGGAAAATTGCACAATTCATCCTGCCAGAAGGCACTCAGATATAGCCATCAAAGATAACAAAATAAAACACTTTCCTTTAGATTTTGGACATCATCTCCAACATTAAAAAAAGATTATTCTCAGAATCCCTTCCCTTGTCTAAAGCTTAAGACATGTAACTATTCTGGAGCAACATGGAATGATAACACAAAGGATTTAGAATAGACATAGAGTGCTAACATAAAGTGTAAAATGGAATAATCCTATCTTTCATTACTCATATCAACAATAATTTGTATGTAAAAAAGAGTATTTAACTCCTGCACGAACTTTTAAGGCATTTCAATGACTGTCATATCCAGATTGCTGATGATTATTAAAATTTTAAATTAAAATTAAATAGCTGTTAATTAAAACAGCTGTACTTAAAACATTAAGAAAAATGTCCGTATTGTTTCAGGGATGTAATCCATGACCCCTTCCTATAGGGTATTTAATAATCCCAAATTACCAACATCTAACAGAAAGGCAAATTTGCATACATATATTATATCATGGGATAGAAAAACATCAACAGTTTCAGTGCAGCAGATGTACAGTGTCATCAGTCACTCTAAGCCTAGAGGGCTATCCATGCTGGTGAAGATAAAACAACTGTAACATCTGAAATTTTCAAGTTCTGTATTCTAACTGGTTTCTGTTCCATTTTTTCAAGTTAAAACAAGACTAATTTAAAAATAACCTAAGTGCCAATAAAATTGGAGCATTTAAATGGCAATTTAAATGGCAGTATTTTTGGTAGTTTTGGGTAAAAGGATGTAAAGGTCTCGCTCTGTTGCACTTCAATACTATAGTACAATGCCACATACCCATGGATGGATTACAGAAGTAAAATACCTTTTCAATATTTATAAAATATGTAACTTGTTTCAGGAGCCAGCAGAAACATTACATCAAAGCTTCAATAAATCAGTGTTAAGAAAAAGAATTATTTACATAAGCATCATGGCTCCATCTCCACCCTGCCTCCCAGCAAGAAACATCTTGAGAACTATTTGGTTTCTCATGCTTCAAGGATTTCAGCGTAGTTCATGGAAATTTAAAACAAGTTTGAGGACTTTGTTTTACATATATAATTTTAATAAAGTTTTAGTTGAGTTTTTTTTCACCATTAAAACTCCAGTTTCCTAAATTTGGCTCCAAGAAATCCACCTGCATATTTGCCCGTACAGCAAACCAGACTTCATGGCATTCTCTGGTCTTCAGCCAGCTCTGATAATCCCAAGGTCAGAGAAAAGGAACCAGAACTAAACAAAAAGTTCCTGTAGACAAAATACATGTAGAACTATTGGTGATCATTTACATCTTTATAAGAAGAGAAGATCAGACCTTGGATACTTGTATTTGATTATTCTAATAAAAAATGAAACAGTATTTCACATCAGGATCCAGATTATTAACTGAAACTGCCAAAAACTAGGTTTATTTGTCAGAACTTTAAAAAACCCAAACATAGACATCCTAAGAGTTCAACAGCTTTGGATCCATTTGTTTCTCAGCAGAAGAGAAAATGAAAGAATTGAAACAGGGGCAGAAGAAGATGAAACTACAGTTTGACCACATCAGCAAGCCAGGGGAGGGCAGGAGGGGTCCAAAGTGCAGCAGAAAAAGCCTGAAGTAAAAATAGCTTGAATTAATAGCACAAACATGCAGAGCAATGGTCTGCCCTTCCCATTTGTCTTTTTAACTAATTTATCCGTGGTGCCACCCAGGTTACTTCAAGGCACTGTACTAGTGACTGTCATTAGTATTTTGTTGTGTACAGAGCAAGGTAAATGGCCACCTATCACTGGTAACTGGAGCAAACACATTCACATCAGACATGCTTCCTGTTGTTCCACTTACAGAAGAAGTTCATTTTCACCTGAACTGTACAAGGAAGCACATTCAGATACAGAAAGTTCAAAAGTCCTAAAAGACAAAGCCTTGAGTAGTTTCATTTTTCAAAGACAGCTGTGAGGCATCTCTGTAACTCAAAGAAAGTTTAAAATAGACTACACACAATGCTTCGGAAGAGTTTGGGGTTTGGTTTTTGCTTTTATAGGAGAGAGCTCACATGTGACAGTTCAGAATCAGAATCCTGAATATGGGAGGGCTGGGAGGAGCTATGGCCTTCAGCCCAAGAGAGGCACCAGGCGACCAAGCAATGCTTCGTTCACTATCACAAGGTAAAACACCTACCCACGCTAGTTCCTGCTCTTGACTGAAGCATGACTAAACTTTGGTTTAGTCACTGTTTTGAGGACCGTTGCAAAACTCATATAAGACAGTTTCTTGTAGGCTGGAATATATCAATTTTCATATAAAAAAACTGACAAAATGAATAACAAGATGATGGCATACCAGGATCAAAATTATCTCCAAATATTCTTTTAGCTGGAATCTTCAGGTTCATGGTGGGAAATTGCTTCTTTAGCTGAAAACAAAACACATAAAATTGGCTTGTGCTTAGACATTAAAGTACCTAGAAATAATTGCATTTTGTTTGTTTTCTGATGAACAGTTTGAACACCTGATTATTAGTAATTCTGCTCCACTGTGCCATTTCCTCTGCTCATACACATGGGGAAAAAAAACATACCCAGAACAATCTGTACTCAAGTTTATTTAGAATAGACATACCTTTTAAATTCAAAGGCCATCTCATCTTAATTTTGCAGATTACTAGAGAAATAGTGCAAAATTATTTGCCCCAGGTTAAAAAAACCCAAATTTCAGTATTGTTTTTATTTTTTTTCTTTCCTTCATCCATCAATTCTCTCTTTCTTTGGGGTTTGTTTTTCTCTTATTTGCTTGCTTGCACAGGGCTGTATGCATGACGTTTAGGATAGGCTGAGGATACAGGCATCTGGATTTTGTCCAAATTACATTCTTTAAGCTTTAGAAATCACAGGTGGCCTACCCTACATCAAAATTACAAGCAGATGAACAGTTTATGTTAGGATCCTGCACTTGATAATTCAATTATTATTACACTTAATAAACTGACCAGAAGATTGTACACAACAACGACTTACACATTAAAAAATAACCCAAACCTGACACTAATCAAGCCTTGACTACATTTACTTCACCTTCAAGTGCTCAAGAAGAGAAATCTTACTCTCATCCTTTTTAAGAGAATAGTTTTTTAATACAGGAGCTGGCAATTCTTCTTCCCTTAGCAACAACAGTATTTCTTGCAGTTAGTAGCACAAGTTCTTTTTGTGTATAAATTGTATGAATTTCTGAACAGAAACAGGACTAAATGTCCTCCTGGTTATGCTTCCTCAGAACCTCACTTCTGGCCATGTTAGAGAGACCAGGGCTGAACAAAGTTCAGCAGAGCAACACTAATTCTAATGGCAAGAGAACACAGCAAAGGAACAGGATCACCAACACTCCCTCTGAAAGGAGAATTTTCTGTTTTCACATCCGTTACAGTTCTATCCCTACAAGATGCAGGCAAAGCACGGCATGGGGTATCCAGGGGCATTTCAGCTCAAACACTTCCAAGCTCACAGCCTATGTTTGGAGACCACTGCCACATGCAAATCCATTCACAGAGAGGCAGAAAAGAGAAGACCTGACTACTTCCCAGAGAGCCAGCGGAAGGGAAGGCACAAATAAGCAGCTGGTAACATTTTAGTATGGGAATCAGAGAGGAATTATTTCCTCTTTTGTTAAAGCAAAAATTATAGTCTTTAAACACAAAAACTGGAGGAAAGTATGGGCACAGCACACATAATTCATACTCACATCTGAACAAGTATTTACCCTACTTGCCCACTACATAAAAGCAGAAAAAATCTCCTCTAGCAATAAACTCAAGAAATCCATACTTAGCTGCTGAAGGGGGCTATTTCTTTTGGAACACTGACCACATTTTCTTGTGCAAAAAATCATACCTGCTATGAAACTGCAGATATGAATTGCCATCAACGACTGACTATAAAATTTCTATTAAGAAACAAGGATTTTTTCATTGCTTTCAGTACTTCAAGGAAAAACACTTATTTAGGAGGAACATATCTATCTAGATGTTTCGTGGGGTTTTTTATCATGACCAAAAGCACATTCTATATGTTTTGACAACAACTAAGCCGGAAGTTTCATTAAGCTATGATCCCAAGGAGCTATAACAATGTGACAATTAAGTGGATTTTGAGTCTGAAATTCAAACAAACCGAAGTTTAAAAAAATCCACTCCATCATCTTGTTTAATTAGACTCCTATGGTTATTAAATGTTTACTCAAACTCCTCAAGAGAGGATTAACTCAAACCATAACACTAAAAGCATTACTCTGCTATTCTGGCATGATTTCATAGCTTGCTTTTTGCTTACCGTATTGTAGAGTTTATCAAACTCTGCATACCGTCGAAAGACAAACCACTCATTTCTGCCAACAGAGACCAACACCTTGTAAACCTGTAGGAACAAGGACAGTGTTATTGCCCACAAAGCTTAGTAAAACTTCTCAGGTTTAATCTTGTGGTGGAAGTAAGGGCAGGTTGTTAAATTTATTGCATAAATGCACTTATCAAACTTATCTTATAGCTAAGTGACACAGACATCCACAGAAATTATTAAAAGAACAACTAAAAGAATCTGGTACTTTGCAGAGAATTTTTTAAACACCAGGTAAGCAAAAACTAACACCAAAATTGATTTAGTGAAGTTTCATAAATCAGTTAATATCCAAAAAGAATACCTGGCCATCAGGTAGTGAACTATTAAAATTTAGTATGAAATTTGTTAACAGTTTGATAATCCATAATAAAGACAAATATTAAATAATCAAAGCATTTATAAATACTGAAGACTGCCTTCACCAAAACCTGAAGAGAAAGTACATATAAAGAGAAAATACATATGGAAGGTACAAAGATAACTGTTCATTTTAACACCTGGAATACAGAAGAATCCTGGCTGATGGCACAGTTGTTCAGGGAGGAAGAAGTGGTGCTGAGGCTGAAATACAGCCTATAAACATAATACACTGCACTGCGATGAAGGGAGGTACAGAGGAACCTGCTGCACACTTTCAGGCCTTTCAAAGGCCATGTCACAGAGGATTTCAGTAACTAGACAGATTGTCAGTCCTTTGGATTCATGAATCTGGTTGGCAGCTGTGTGTCCAGCAGGCTTCTCCCATCTCTCAGCAATTAGCTGTGTTCACTTCTCTACTTTCTTGTACTTCAGAAGGAACTCGGCTATTCCTTCAGCAAAGCAGATGGGCACAACAAGGAAATGAGTGCAGAGCACCCCTAATTCCCAACGCAGACTACTGGACCAATGCCCCAGTCTCCATTCTGCCCCGCAGCAGCACCTTGGCTCTCTCTAACTCCCACAGTGGAAGTGGCAGCCACCACCATCAGTTCCTCAACCTGAGGGCTGCAGTCAGGCTGTGCTAACTGCCTACATAAGCTGTTCTCAGTTCCTGGCCCTGGGGAACACAGGAAGCTGGATGGAAGCATCCAGCAGAATGCTGATGAGATCTTCTAAGAAAACGCACTTTGCCTCATACTGCTAAACAACTGTTAGCATAAAACCTACCCACTCCCCTTCTAGAGCCTCCCTACACTGTAGACAGCAAAAGCTTCAGCTGCAAAACTTAAGCATTGTCCTTGTGAACTGGGTCTCTTTTACAGCAATCAAATCCTGCAAGCAATGTTCAAACATAAAACACCTCTGCTCCCCATGACTGCACGGCACTTCAATGCCAACACACTTGAGCAGAGGGCCAATGTAGCTGGGCAGATGCACAGAAAGCAGAGTGCACAGGCAAGCATAACTCAGGATATGAGATGATCTCCACCTCCTTGGCAACTGCTAAATTTAAACAGTTTTGTTCTCAGAGTAGCTGTAGAACAATGACACAATCAACATTTTTTACACGAGAGCATAAAAAAACCTGTATGAGGTCATCAGTTCACACCACTAAGAAAGCTCTTTCACACCCCAACAAAGGAACAGCTGCAAGTCCAACAGTTATGAACACACTAAGTGGTAAGAAAACACACAATATCCACTAAGAATCTGGTAAAACCTAAAACCATGACATGTCAGAGTTGTCTTACTACTCTCAGTTACACCTATGTAATGATTAGAGAGATGTGCAATGCTTATTTCTAGAAAGGTAGAAGGGAGAAATCTATACTTACTTAAATAATAACCTTTTTAAGTCTAACTATTCCTAACCCCAGTATTGGTCGTAGAAAACTCCTATGCATCACAACTCATATTATGTGGGTAAAAACCACAAAGCTTTCAGAAAAATTAAAAGGAAGAAGAATAAACAGAATTCTGAAAACATCACCATAAAATGTCTTCCTAGATACAGACAGGACAGGATCCTGCTATTTCTGGATGGAATAGATTTTCTTCATGAAAGAAGTCACTGAAATTAAAAGACTTCAACTCTGTGGTAGCTCATGCTCCTGGATTAAATGCTTGATTTTTATTAAACAAAGAAAAATTAAAAGGTAGGATGCTTTCCAATTTTGACAGAGCAATCATTGAGAAAGTAAGGAAACTATTTATTGTCAACAAATAAAAAAAAAAAAGAAAAACAACTCCCAATTTCCACAGGGCTGGGGATTAATATTATACATCACAGGTCTGAGACAAAGTTTTCAGATTTAATCAGACAAACAGCACCCTTGAAAGAGATTTTTTAATAAGCCTATATATGATCTAAGTATAAAGGGAGATGAGAACAGGTCAGAAGAAAAAATTAAGCCTCAGACATCAAACAGCATAGGGATAAAAGTGAGAAACCCAAAAAAAAAGCTATTTGTCAAAACAGGCAAAAGAATGACCTAATATGCAGCAAGGGCAGAAAGCAATTAATATAGGCTAGATATGGTCCAAACCAAGGAAATATTTTACTCCTTTCATAGAGGAAGTGAATGCTGAATCTTCAGAATAATAAGGGACAGCAAACTAATGTGAATTTACATAGAGGCTGGAAGAAAAAATGGTTCCTCGCCAGAGCACCCAAAAAATGCAAACATGCAATCATTTGAAAAAAGAAAAAAAAAATTGGTAGTAAATTTATCAAAAGTATGCAGTATTTAACAAAACCAAATCAAATATTGAATAAAAGGTCATGAAAATGCTCAGGAGGTATGAGAAGTTTACTTCCAGAGACAAACCTGAAAAACGCATTTAATTATCAGAATGACACCTGCTCAGAGACATGATTGTTTTTAAAAATGCTTTACCAGAGTAAGTGTGACAGGAAAAAGTAGAGCTAGACAAGCTAAGTTGCACATACTTGTCTTGTTTCCATGCCAGCATTAAGTAAGCCATTGAAAGGTTTGAGCTGAAAATCAGTTTCTGTTCACACCAGTAAGACTCTAGAAGCATCTCAGAAGCAGCAGTGAGCAATTTTGCTCTGTGAGCAATGGTAAGGTGAAGACTACACAGTCACCTGAAATCCTTCCTAGCCTTTATCACTCGGACCTTTCTTTTCAGCCCAAGTGAAAACCCTTCTTACTGCTCTTTACAGAAATGGCACTAGTGTGGCCATCACAAGAGACAGTTATACCTACCACAAATTTGCTAAGAGCTGCTTCCCCCCTGCAGCCCTTTCTCACTCCCTGTCAAAGTACTGATGGGATCCTGTCATTACACACAGCTACTGAACAGGGGACACAGTAACAGCACTGACACATGCTGGAATTCACAGTTTCTACCATGAAGTTTAGTATGACCCTCACTTCTGTTATCAAATCCTAAAATATATGTGATAATATTTGAAAGCTTGGTTGTGAAAGCACTTCTTGTCAAGCTGCTAATTACTCTCTGGCACAGAAAGCAGAAGACAGCAAGACAAAGTGTACCTCTGCACAGTGTAATCTAGGCTGGATTCTTTCCCCCCTCCTCTCTCTGCCCCCCCATTTCTGATGTTTCGTACTGCTTTCCCAAGGGCATGCCCAAAGAAAGTGCCTTTACACTGCCCAGGCTGTCTCACACATCTTTAGGTAAAACGACCAGGATGCCACAACATTAGTAGATGCTCAATGCACCACACTGGCATATTTCAACTGCAGAACTGCCAGCACTGAGGCAACAAAACAAAACAGAACTGTTCTGCTCAAGTTTAGACTTTCACAAAGGTTTTTCCGCTCACCTGAGTTTCACATGAATGCAGAGGTTTAAGGAATTAGTAAAGTTCTCTTTCATTTAAGGTTCCCTTCACTGGCACACTTCTTCCCTAAGCTACATCTTGACACACTTCTAGAATCAAAGAGCACTGTTCTTCTCCGAGGAAGGGAGGTGAAGAGGAAAAGGAGACAACATAACTCCTAGTAAAACATCATTTTGTTCTATTCTTCAGACAGCAACTCCATATTGTTTCCACAGTGTTTGCATTCCTCATCTGAAGAGTGACTAACTTACTCAAAGAAAAAAAAAACTCTTAGAGGAAGTTGCACAAGAGCAATGAAACAGCCTGAGCCTTCTAAAGGAAGTATTTTGATCTTGTCCTTTAGGGTTATATAGAAGCAAAACAAAAATCCAAACCACACCACTTTATTTTTCAGTATGCAATGCAAAGAATTTCCCAGACAACAGGAAGACTTCACAACCAGAAAGTCAAACTAGGAGGTAAAGAAAGGAAGAGGGAGAGAAACGACAAGAAGTGGAAATGGAAACAGGATAGGAAAAAACTCATATGCATTAGAATCAGAAACAGGAAGGAAGACAGAAAAAAAGGTTTTGAAAAAATTTGATGGTTTATATCTTTTTTTTTCATTTTACACAAAAAAATTACAGTAGTATAATTGGAAATCTGTGAAAGAATGGATGTTAAAACAAACAAAGCCCCACAAAGTGCCAAATTCACACTTGATCCCTTTACAAAATGAATGTCTTCATGAAAAATAATGTAGAATGCCAAAAATGGTACCGGAATGTTTTCTCTGTACTTGGATACTAAAATATTTTATACAAGCAAATGCAGCTATTTGGGGTAAACACTATAAAATATTTACAAGATTTAAAATATTTCCTTGCTCACAAGGAAAGAAAAGCAGAAGAAAAGAAAGCAGCACTGCTAGGCACCAATAGCCTATGCCTTTGCCCACAGTGCTTAGTCTCTTAAATACTTACAGTAAATCTCTTTTTCTTCTCTCTGTGTTCATCAGAGCTGGGAATGCTAACGCTTGGACAGCTCTCTTTGAGATCCATTGTATGTTTCTTGTGACAAATTCGTTACAGGACCCTGCTCTGGGTGTTGCAATCAGGAGGTCTCGTCAACAGTACTGGTCCAAGATCCGCAGTTTTTCTTGAGAAAATCTGAATTCCATCATGTTATCTTAAAGTGAACATAAAAGGAAAATTTAAGCACAGAAGCTCTTAACTCACATTGTTGAAAACCTGTGTGACAAGAACTTTTGCTGGCAGGAAATGCACATTAATATGTACATATAAAGCCACAATCATGGCTATTTTGTAAACATTCATGCTTGTAGTTCTTTGTTGTTTCACTGAAATCACTCACATTCTCCAAAGACACAAGTGCATCCAAAAACTCACTGAGTTGTGTAGACATACTGGAAACAGATTTAGGTCCACTACAGAGAATACCTTGTAGGAACAAAGGGCATGAAGAAATAATTGAAGATGACAACCTCGTACCAGACATCTGAGAAATGCCACCAGCTTGTACATTCAGAACAACTTATTTCAATACCAAAGGTTTTCAACTGCATGAATCTCTTACCAGAGGGCACTTAAGATTTGTCAGAATATGCTGAGCGCATTTAAATGTCATATCAGAGATTAAAGACGACATGAGAAAAACTGATTTTTCTTGCGAATTTTAGAGAGGGACACAGGCAGCATCATGTGTCTGTCTGAATATTTATCTTCTCTGCCCCTCCTTCCCCTTACTGGGCATACTTTGTGTTTGGCAGAACACAGGGTGGAAGGTCACCCTTTCCCTTCAGTGGAATGGTTAAGTTTCCTTGCAGAATTGAGAAGGGCACAACACAAGAGACCGAGTATAAAGCCATCACAAAGGCAGAAAGCTTAGTGTCAAGGAGATGCCTCTTCACTCGCAGAAGGACAGCATCCTCCACACCTGCCCTGAGCGTAAGCACACTATTTACTGAACCCCACTGATAACAACAGGAACTTCAGTGGTGCGTAGGAGCAGCCAAAATTCATGGCTACAAAATTAATGGCTGCATACCTACAACCCTCTGGGCCTGCACAGCACAGCCATCTAAACTGCTTGACCGAATGCAGCACAGCTTTAGAACAAGATGTGCCTGATCAACTTACAAACATGAGAAAAATGGTCTAGAAAGAGGGAGACCTCAGTTCTCTTCAAAATAGCCAGAGGAAAAAGAAGCGCCCAGTACAACACTAACTTGCTATTTTCTTAAAATGGGAGTATAAAAGTGAACTCTATATTTCATATAAGAAATTTCCAAAAAGCACAAACTAATCCCATGCAATTCTGCTATTAGAGAGACACCCATATTTATGTTGGCACAAAGGCTAAAGCTCCTGGAATCCAGTGAAAAGATTTGTTCTTGATACCCAACTAGCTCAGTCAGTCAACTCACTATTTTTCTTGCTCTCAAAAGCCAGATCATCAAACTTCATGATGTTATTTCTCTTTTTGCCACTTAAAATGAAATTAATTTTCAAAGCTCTGTCTAATGACTTGAACAAAAAGGAATGTTTACGACCACTAAAATCACAGCAAAGTGAAAGATCATCCATACTGCAAGATATTCAAAAATTATTTTTAGCTACATCTACATTTACCTTGATTGTTCCCTATTTCACCAATTAAGTAATTACAGTGTTGAGCAGGGTTGAGCTTCTCCCCTATCTTTATTTGACTAGGACACAGTTCAACACAGTTACACAGACCATGGGTTTCAAATTGGTTTCTCATTTCCTTTGGAAAGCTACTGTTAAATGCTTTGTTACAAGGCAAACCTTCTACAATTTTATACCAGCATGAGATCAACAGCGTTCTTCTCCCATTGCCAAATACTAAAATTTAGATGTAAAGGTTAACTGAGCTCTTCTCCATCATAAGAGGTCCACTAAAACAGTCAACAGGCACCACTTCCAGTAAGTGCTTCACTAAGCTTAGACTTTACTAAGCACTTGTGTCAATCTTTATCTACTTCAGGTTCGGTATCAGGAACTGAGCATAAGCCCCTGTGTTTTATCTGTCTTATTGCTCATCACAGAAAAACAAGTAAAGCTTTAAAATGGATTAGGTGTTCCCTGATTAATATCACTCACTGTCCTTCTCCTTTGTAAACCAACATTTGCTACAAAGGTTTCCAAATGCCTGTACTCATTTTCACAATACAGGCTGTATTTCTCTCATCCTTTCCGTTTTTTAGTATCAGTTTTAAATGTCAGTACAAGAGCCGTATGGATTAAAAGCTGTAGTCTTGGAAGACTGAGTTTTATTTCAGATCTGAAGTTGAAAGATTTCTGAAAAACAAAAGGAGGAAGTGTCAACCAGATTAATTCAGGAAGAGTTTATTCATCTTACTGGGGAGAAGAAGAATAAATCATCTGAGAAACCAAAACTGTAATGTTCACATTTCGTTCTTTATGCTGCCTGGAAGATCACTGGCTGTGATTATTTTCATTCCCTAAGGCATCTCCTTGGAGCCGTGCCTGGGTCACCAACACTAAGCTGAACTGACAAACTTGGAAGAACTGCATTTTCACTTTGCCACTAAGCTCCAGTGGATCAGAGCTTTCTTTCAATTTCTATTTGCCTTGAGCATATCAGCTCTTGAGAGCTTCTTACATCTGAACTGTAGGTCTGACTACAGAAATAGGGACAGACTTGCCTTAATCTTTACCCTGCTGCAGTTAGGAACACAGCTGTGGTTTAAATCGCAGGTAAAATCACTAATGCTGTGATAACTGCATGAAGTAACAATGGAGAGAAAACAGTAGAGACATTTTTAACCACAGCTTCAAAAGTGGAAATTGCAGCATTTTGAAGGATGCCAGGTATGAGTGAGTTTAACAGACACTGTCAGCAGAGAAATCTCTACCTCTGGTTACAGCACTTCCTGGAACTAAAAATGAGCAGCCCCTTGGCTCAACTTTGATAACAGACCAAAGGGGAAGGGAATTCAGAAAACCACATACCAAAGTAAGTCTCCTCAAATCAAACTTGGCCACCAGTGAAAGACATAGGTAATGCAGATAACTTGTAAAACAGATTAATGCTGAGACCAGTGTTGTCCAGAAACAGCTAAAACTTATGGAGGCTTATGGAGGCCTGGAACAGGAGAAAGCACAGAAAAAGTTATCGTAGATCAGAAGTCACCAGTCCTCCTGGCACAGTTTCAAGCCTGTCAACAGTTACACTGTCCATTCTCTCCATGAGGGCTGTCAAAAAGCCAGCAGTATTTTCACTGTTTCCTGCAGGAAGCCACAACAACATCAATTTTCAGGCTGACCCTTGCCTGCAGTAAAGCAGAGACATGAACAGAGAAAACCACCAAAAGACTCTCCCTGCAAGCACGTTTGGAGGAATCACCAGGATCCATATCCATTGGAACAGCATATAGGCACTCCTCTGTACACTAACCATCTGCCCTGAAGGACTTCATTTGGGACTGAGCTATCATTAAAGCAGCTGCTGTGACTCCAATTACAGAGGGAACATGCATATAAAGAAACTGAAAGCAAGGCACAGGAGGCACTTCTATTCTTCGCTATAAACACTAACCTATTTATTCTAATTTTAGAGAAAGTATCAACTTTGGCATGCTTTTCATCACTTCCTCAGTCTTCTCCACAAATGCACTGATAATGGCTCAACATATCACTGGGCCTTACACAATCTTGTAGAAAACCCAGAAAGTCAACTTTTTCTCAACCTCTCTATGAAGAAATAGTGTCCCATTCTTGTTACCAGACAGCCAGCTGACACACAGGAAATAGGAGACAAGATAGTCAGAATCCAGTGCAACAGAAATACAGGATGAGGGAACTGAACATGAAGTCAAATACTTCATAAAAAGTCAAAAGGAAAACACAGATTGCTAATCTCTAAAGAGAGAGGGATGACAAGAAACTGTTCAATAACAAGGTTCTGGAGGAAAACAGGTTTCATTCACAATACATCCTTTTAAATATCACACTACTATACAATTTTTAATACAGTAACACTAGACACCAGGGTAGACCTCTAATGAGACTTCACCTGAATTAAAAAAACAGAGCACTAACCAAAATACTCCAGTCAATCCCTGGCTTTTCTCCATGCTCTCTTCTAAGTACAATTTGAGAAAGTTGAGAATTCAGCCACTAGTATAAAGGAAAAAGCCTGCTCCCTGTTTACACATCCACCCACTACCTAGCAGTTTTAAAAATTTCTAGTAGCACCACTCCTCTGCAGCAACATGGGCAAAGTCCAATTCAACTGAATCTTTTTACTTGGAGGAAAGGACTGCAAGTGAAGTGAAAATGCAACCAAAGGAATGAAATAAGTAATTACCCTCTTTTTGTCTCTATCAAATTTACTTTGGAGAAGTCAGGCAAACATTACCTTCCCACGACTATACTGCACCCAAGAATATCCCTTCTGCCCCACCTCCCAAAAGAAACTCCAGTAAATTACTCTTAACTGGCATATAACAAGATTTGTGGCTTGGATTAGACCTATTTGCATTCATATTTACTACATGACAGAACACAGGTTCACTACTGTGGTAAGCAAACCTTGATTAATAAAACAGGTCTTCAGAACAAATACTGCCAGTAAGACGCAGTTGTCTTTTAATCCTGAACACATCTCCATAATAATTTCAACTTTAGCCTGTGTCCATAGTATCCATAAGGATTGCTATTGTGTCTCAGACAGTACAACTTACACAAACAACAGAGTATATTTAAAAAATCCCGTTTGCATTCCACTTGCTACCTGCACATTTCTTGGTGTGCTTTCTCAGTCTGCCTATACACCAGGTCCAATTAAATTTTAAATGTATATGCCTAAGGACAGCACAGCTCAGGAGTTGCAGCAACAGCACCATAACCTACTTTGAAGAGCTCTTACAGACAGCTGACAGCAGCCACCTGCAACATAGTCAGCTCTACATAAGAGGGCAGTCAGACTTCAGTAAACACCAAGCAAGCAAATCCAGCCTCATTTTACCCCTCTGGATGAAAATTAAACGAGAGAACACCACATTTCAATTCCAGATATACTGGACATGCTCTTACATGACCTTCAACAGAAGTCACCAACTGTTCTCCCTTGGTTTCACTACATAAATACAGAATTCCAGTCTGTTTAAGATGGACATTACTGCTAATGCATTGAACATGAAAAGCATTCCAGGATTTTATGTACTGTAATCAGCAAAAGGGTAAAATCCATATAACAGAATATAGCTAGATAATAACATAATTAAATATACAAATCTAAATCACAGGCCACAACCCAGAAATCACACTTTTCAAAGTCTGTGCTTTACATAATTGTTGGCTGCCTAGAATCATAAAGCTATTAGATAATGAAAAGGCAACAACTTAAAACACTGGAATATAAAAAGCAAGCAGGAGAAAGACCCTTTAGCAATATACAAACTGCATGTCCAGCTCACCACCAGTTGATTCATCATGTTACGTCAATGCAACCACAGCAAGTATTCTACATCCATTCTTCAGGTACAGTTTACAGACTCCCACAGGTGAGAGCATATACTGAACTCTCACGTATTTCTGTACTGCACAGAGAATGAGTAGGTTCAGTTCATAAGGATTCACAGAGTAGTGGCTTATGTACAAAAAACAGAATTTGGTGCAACAGCGTCAGATGTGGTGAGGTTGTAATTTACATCACAGGTGGGAATTTGAGGCTGGAAAGCAATTTTAACACATTATGTTGTTGTTATTATTATTATGTTATATTATCATGTAACCCCTAGTGCCTACCTCTTCAGCTTTGGCAAGGTTTTTAAAATAATCAGTACTTCTCACTGACACGGGCAAGTCAATTGTGCTGCATTTCTGATCTAAACAAGGATCTCAAAGTATCTTTTAAGAAATAGGTCAGTTTTCCAGCTTTATGTTATAAGAAATATCACGCATGGAGACTACCTTAACAACAATGAACTTTCCAAAATGCTTTCCAAAAGCTAGAACAATTTTCCCTGAAATTTAAAGTATCTTAAAGCCTTCAGGAAAATACTCCTCCATATGCACCTTCTGTTTTTACCATTAGTTCATATTACAGTTATTGAAGAGACTGATGTGCAGGTGAAGGAAAAAAAAAAGGTTAGAACTATATTTAGACACTGAGGCTGAAACAACACTAATGTTAGGAGAATCCAAAATAGAATACCATCAACCCTTAAAAATACAGTCTCATTCTGTGTGTGTCTATAAAACCACTTGGAATGTCTGAAAGAAGTTATAAACAAACCTGAGCTACAAGGACACTGCAGCAAGCAATATTGTCAGAAATCTTCAGTGCAGGAAGAACCATAAGGGCATTCAGGTGACACTTCTGTGCTGTGATGAAATGCACTACCCCCATAACAACGCATCCTAAGTTTAGTGGGGAATAAGAAAGGCGCATTCCATCCTACAAAACTACTGCACGTTCAGAAGCAGCAGTTACACCTTTATGAGCTGCTAGAGGAGGAAAACTCACATAAACACACACATATACACACACACAAAAAAGTACAACCTGTCAAAAGAGCTTTAGCCGTAATACTTCACAACAGCCTTTTAATTAACCGCCACAAAATTAAATTCCTCAAGGGTACCTGAATCTCGACAAACCAGCGTTGCCTAAGATGCTTCAGTACTGCTCTTCCGAAACAGCAGCACGTCCTGGCTGCGAACCACTCGGAGAAGAACGAGAGCGACCGCGCAGAGGCCGCGCCGGTCCCCTCGCCGGTACCGCGGACCCGCACCCACTGCTCCTGCTCCTGCCGCCCTTCCCCTTCCTCCTCCTCCTCCTCACCGGCGCAGCCACCGGCTTCACCGCGCCGCGAGGACCTCGGGAACGAAACCAAGCTTCTCTCGCCTTCACCCCAGCAACTATTTCTGGGCTCCTCGACTTCTAGGAAGCTGAGGCGCTCCTCCGGTTCCCGGCGCAGCGCCCGCCGCTGCCCGGCGCGGCCATCGCCCGCCCCCGCAGCACAGCGCGCCCGGGGCTCGGCGGCCAGGGAAAGGGAAAGGCGGCTCCGCCCGGGCGCGGAGGGCGGCCGCCCTCTCTCCCTCCCTCCCTCCTCCTCCTTCTCTCCTCCCCTCCCTCCCTCCGTCCTTCCCTGCCTGCCGCCCCTCCCCTGCCGCGGCGCCAGGCTGCCCGCCCGCCCGCGCAGCCCTCCGCGGAGCCCAGAGCCCGGCTCGCCCCGGGCTGTGGGACGGGCGATCCTCTCCCCCTCCCGCCCTATATATACATATGTATCTACATAGCCACACTAAAATAAACAACTTTTAAAACCATGTTTTGTTTTAGGGACAAGTTTTTACTTCCCTAATCCCAAGGCTTCAGTCCTCTCTCCCCTCCTCAACCCCTAGGGAGATGCTCCTGCTTCTGCTGGGCGGCTCCCCATAGAAACTCAGGAAAAACAGCAACGCTCTGGTAAAAATAACTTTAAAACACCCCTGCGCACACGAGGGGTTTCACTTTAACTCTTCAGTGCGTCCAGGGGTGCCCACAATCCACCGGCAAGGCCGTCATTAAACCAACCAGCCGCTGTAATGACAGCTCTGCTTCTGAGAGAAGGGAGGGGAGTATGGGCAGGAGCAATAACACAAGGAAAATGAGATAGGTTTGTATGAGATCTAGCACTATTTCGGGAACTATTTCTGCAACCTCTAAAATTTCAGGGGTAAGTTTCAATACACCCACTAAAATTCAACAGGACGTCTTTAAAATGATATGTAACTTGCGAAGTTTTCCTGAGCAAATTGAGGCCATAAAACAGTTATAAAAATATAAATTATAGCGGAGGGAAAAAAGCTCCTTTAATGACAGTATCCCTCCTTTATTTTGTTAACGAGATCTAAAAGTGTGAGACAAACAGGAGTTAGCACAGATTCTGTTTAACAGAAAAGACCACCACACCCATTAAGTTACAGCCTCGTGTACTGAGGGTCTGTTATGCTTTCAAACATTCAGAGAAGCCTTAAGAGGCACGAGTATCTTATGCAAATGGTTACACTCAGGAGGAGTTAAAAGCCTATGCCATTTTAGCTTCCTCCCTATAAATACCTGAAATGTTTCTTGGGATTTCAACGGCCATGTAAAGAATGAGCAATTGTGAAAATACTGCAGCCCACTGCACTGTATTACCAATGTAACACAAGGGTGTACCCAAAACCCCGCAGGCTGTCATGAGGAACCTGCTGTTCTATTGATTATGGAGAAGCCCCACTTTCTACAGGCCTGCCTTCACCAGACTTGTATTTGGGCCTGACAGGACATGACAGCTCATTTCAACAGTCACAGGTATTGGCAAGTATCTGGCAAGCAGCAATTCAGGAGATTATGACAGTGCTGCTGCAGAAGTATTCCTGCATAATACTACACTCATGTGTCAGGCACTGACAGTCATCCAAGCATTCTCCAAAAACAAATCAGAGAAGCAGTCTGGCAGTTTTTAAAATACGTCAGTGTTTGGATTAGTGTGTTGTAACTGTGTCCACATAAGCTACAAGTCAACTGGATCACAAACTTCCACTTCAGTAAAGTCCACACACAGGAAGAAATGAGAAATTTTCCCATTCTAACCTGCCCATTCCTGATTTTGGAGTTTTGTGGTTTTGGATAGGTACTGCTAGAGATTGAGACTTGGCATTGCAGCAACAGCCTTCTCTTGCTCCTTCCAGTCTGGAAAGGTATTTGCCTCTGCATTCATGGAGAGGTTTAAAAAGGCTTTTTAGGCCTTCTTGTGGTGAGCCCCAGACCAGAATGCTTCTGAACTTCAGTCAGGTAGAATAACTCACTGACAAATAATTTAGTCAGGTAATCTGTATTCAAGAGCTATTTTACTTAGCAATTGTTGAGCAGTGTTCTGCTTCTGTCTGGTTGATAGTTTTCAGTTAATCATTCACTTGTAAAGACATCAGTTAAATAGAGCTATTGGACTGATTTACAGTATAGCCTCAACCCAGGTAAGGTGAGAAGATGACCCTGACTTGGAGATAATTTAACTCTGTCTCCCTGTCCACACAGTCTAAGCCCTAAACCTTTGACTAAAGAGCAGCTATTTGCCCTTCCTCACACTGAAAATCCCTCTGAAGACTGGGCTGTTGAGTGGTTAATTTTATGCAGTTCCTCTCCCTATTCTGGCATAGGTAAATTAGAGATTAGCAACATGGTACATATCCTTAAATTGTAATTTGCCTGAATGAATTCCACAGCATATTCATCTAGCTAGTGCATCATACTATACAAAAGACTGTTAAGGTCCTAAAATTTAAATAAATTGTAATTTACAGATTTGCTTGATGAGCTTTTAAAGGCTAATACTCTAATGTCAGGGTGGATACCTGATGGTTAACTGCATAGCACACAGAGAAATACACAGAACTCAGCTTGCCTTTTAGTGAAGTTAAAGGTCAGCATTCACTCTGACATTTTTGTCCCCTTGCATTCCCCATTTATGTTGTCTGGGCTGTAACACAGAGAGAGAATCTCATTTCCACTGATTTGCAGTACTTTGTTTCTAAGAAATGTTACAAATCCATGTTGTGTGCTGCCATCCCAACTATTTTAAACCTTTGCTCGAGGAATATCAGTGACTGGGTGGTGGGCATGGAAAATACAAGAAAACAGAAGAGAAATGAAGGACCCATCTCAAGCCACTGCAAATGCAAGAGGTCACAGAAATGCAGAGCACCTTTAACATGTTTCTCCAAGCCCAGGAAGAGCAGGCAACAACAATATGAACTATTCAGTTCTGTTTTTACTGAAAATGTCTTTAAATTAGTATGAAAACCTTGTCCCTGACCAAAGATCAAAAGTCTCATTTTATAACCTCAAGAGAACTATACGGGAAAAAAAAAAAAAAACAAACAAACCCAAAAACCCCAAAAACAGAGCATAAAGAAACATTTTAAGACAAAGACAAGCAGGAATACAGATGACTTGTTTAAATGGAGCCAGGATTTTTGCTAGTGAATACTGTTCCATATGAATATACCATGGAACTTTTGTATACATTCAAATATTCACACAAAAAGCACAGCCCAGACAGCTTGACAAGCGTAGTCCAAGAATTTTAGTTACTTCTAAAACACAGCAGGTCATTGAGCAACAAAATCATTACTTCCCTATCAGCTCCAAACATTAACACCACAGCTCTCCATTTCAGTTCTTGCATCTTCAAAGGAATATCTTATCCTATCTTGGTTAACACCAAGCTTTGTATCCTACTCCTCACACTCAGGAAAACAACCTCCTTGCCCCAGAACAAACTGTAAATAGTCAAGAGGTTTGAACACTAAGATGAGATGGTGTTTGGAATTAAAACTTCTGTGGCAGTATCTTGCCAACTGTTAACTCCAGTTAGAACAAATGTGTCTGTTTAAAACCCTCCAAACACGATACAGTAACAGATATGAAGAGATCTTTTAAATAATTATTGTTAGCCCTGGGCTCAGACTTCATTCAGGAAGCAACTCATGGCCACTGTAGTTGTCATCACATGTGCCAATTGTTTTAATCAAAGAACCCAAGTGCCAGCAGGCTGTACCCACCTGCACAGCACTGAGCAGCCTGAGGACGTGGCCCTTTGGCTGCAATGGATGGGCCTCACAATGACACAGGAACAGCAACTCTAGGCAAATATTGTCTACTGGCTGCCACAAAGACCCCATAAATGTATGAAGACAGATATGCACTTGCCCTGTTCTATGAGTTACTCTCACAATGCTTTCCAGCCTCTTGTTTGGCAGCTAATTAGGCTATGCTCCCACCCTGCCATCTGATTAGAAACAGAAGAGATTTGGGCACGGGCCAGTTGGGACCTGGCATTCAGCCCTGCAAATTGTGGCACCCAAGAGTTGTGCACTGGAGAAAACAGTGTCCTGTTAGGCTCCCTGGGCTCATGAGATTACCAGAAAACACAGGCTACCACGGACAACATCAAATAAGATAAGACACTAGGTGGGAAAGTGAACTAGCTGAAAGCCTGAGAGTTAAAACTGGAAGAAATGCCAGCTGGGTAAGATTTAAAGCTCACAATGCAGGTGCAAGCAACAGTATCACCAGGTAACTGTTCTTTACCAAAGCTGGTTTTGTAACACTTAATGAATGTATGCATATTGATAGGTTTCATTTAACTCATTTTCATGGTTGCATGCCTGTGCTTATTAGAGGAGTCTGAGTAATGGTTCAGCTTTACATGAGCTGCACAGAGGAAATGTTTTTTTCCCTACTTTCTTTTTGTATGCTAGATCAGCTACAGAATATCTTCGTATGACAGTCTTTCAATTTGAAGGAATGAAATGAATACTTAAAAGATTGATTCATTGCAAACATATACTTCAACCCCTTCTCCCAAGCAAACTAATCAACCCACCAGAAACTACCACAAGCCTCCTAAACACAGCTGAAAGATTTAGTATTGTCTTTTGATAAAGCATAAGAACTTGGCAAGTAAAAGGAGGCTTCATCCATAGTGACATAGTGAACTACCAGTTTTCCAGCACTCCAGACACAAAGATGATGATCCATGAATATTACAAGAAGAATGTCCTGGAGCTCAGAGGTTAATGAATATGAAAAGCATGATCTGCAACAACACTACATGGGCTCTCCCCCAGCATAGCAAACACCACAAATCAAAGTGATGGGAAACTATAGAAAAAAAGTAATACACTGCATCATTTAATGATCAGAGTGTGTATAACATGAACCAGAAAAATGACAGCAGCACCACATCAAAGAAATTCTTCACAGAAGTTCAGAAGAAAACTGGTTTAAATCAACTGAAGCATATACTAAAAAGGAATGCTAGTACACAAGCAAGCATTCTGCCAATAGCATAAATGAACAATGACATTTCAAAGTAAAAAAGCAATTATCAGGCAGTGAAATACCATATCTGCAATTTCAATACATGAATCTCTGTATTCCTGATTTCATCTTCTTCAAGTACTTCCCTCATGCACACACCAAAATGTATTATTGTTACTCTATATGGAGTACTTTTTCTCAGGTTAGTTTCACTTTTTTCAGTGATTAGTTTCTAAAAATTACTTAGCATGTAAGGCATTTA